TAGTCGACAGGTATCCCCTCCATCTGTCGCTGAACCATTCAGACAGGAGCCAGGTTCTGATTTTGTCCCAAATTTCGGGATCGTTATTGCTGATTGCCGCAACATCGGCTTCTAGTCGAGCAAAAGCTTCTGACCAAGACTCCTCTTCGGAACATCGTTGGCACCTCCGAAGTGCCACAAGGAAGGCAAAGGCCTTTTCGGTACCCACCAGATCACTCCCAAATAGCCGAAGTGCTCGAGATCGGGCGGCGTGCATGAAATGGAATTGGCATAACCGAATTGGAGTTCCCGGGAAGACCTCCTCAATGGCCTTTCGTTCGGCGTCATCACAATCAATCATGAAATGTAGTGGAAGGAAATCCTCCTCGTGAATGTATTCGGCGTTGATGAGGATTTGCTCTTCATTCTCATATTCGGAGACCACTGATGATTTGCCCTTGAGTAATGCTTTCGCTTCTTTCTTGATAGCCTTTCGGATAACGCTCAAGAATTCGGTATAGGAATCGGTGTTGGCGTGATTCGAGACCATGACAGCTACTGGAGCATTGTCAGCTCCGAAACCCGAAACCCTTCAAACCACAGGACTCACCAGGGACCATATGACCATATTCATTTACTGTGGCTAGCAAGGTGACGGGACAGCGTATTGCATTCTTATTTCTCCAAGACGAATCAAGAAAGAGGCCCCGATCTGTGGCATGCCGAATTGCTGATTGCAATGCATGTTTCGGACTGATGATTGCAATGAACGAAGAGTCCGCTGGGAATGGCTGAGTGCCACCGAGTGCCAGGCCTTCAGGATATTCACAACTGACAGTCAGCTCATGAGGACAAGGAAACGCTGGCTACATACTGCAGGAAAGAGCTTGGATTGGCCTCATGTAAGATACTTATCGCCGCCAGTGGTAGCCGATCCAGCCTTTCCTGCCGCAGAGCCGTTCGGATGGCAGTTTGGAAGTCAGTGGTGGTAGGAAGACGCTCGGGATAATTTGCCTTGACCCATAGGACATAGGGGTGAATCTTGCAGAAGGAATTGTACCACCGAAGCCGAAGACGTGACTCAGTCGTTCCCACCAGAGTTGCAGCATCATGGAGTAGGTTTCGGAGATGTGGCGAAATCCGAAGTAATGTCAACGGGTTCGGTTGACCGTGATATGCAGCTTTCGGGCGGATCAGACAACAGACCCCTTTTCGGATATTGCTGGGGGTCATTCGTATCTAAGAAAATCAGCTTAGTGAAGATGAATCATCCTTATATGACCCACCTCAAGAAAAAGATCACACTTTAAACGTGCTCTTGAGGAATATCGTGCACTGGCAGCAGTTGGAGGGTGAGCTTCGGCTGTTGTTTGTGTTTCATCCTTTGCTTTCGGCTCAACATGGTGGTGGACACTGTTCAAAGTTGGCTGGATCTGGGTACAGTTGCCACTGCATCGGAAGATCGACCGAAACACTGTCCGATTCGGGTATGCGGCGACAGCACTGTCGGAGACAAAGAAGAGGCCATGTCTTCCCCTGATGTCGGCGGGTAATAAACCAGGGGGATCCAACCATTCCACTTGAACACATTTGGATATATGCTGGGTCTCAATGAGGTAGTCCTGACGCTGATATATCAACGGTTGTAACTCTCCAAAACAGAACACTGACCAAAGAGTCAAACGCTTTCGGGATATGATGAAAAGCCACCTCGAATTGTTCATAGCGATCATCATCCACCAGGTCAGGATTCGGTAAACGACAGAAGGTTTCCAAAGCACGTATGTTGACCCCAAGACTAGCGTCGGTGCGAGGAGCTTTGAGTGCCAAGAGTGGAGCCTCAGGACGTGGTACGGAGTATGATTCGGAAGAGATATTGACAATTCGGAAGCGCCCGGCCGCCTCTTGCCTAGCAGTGATGATCTCATCTTCTACCGAAATGGGATTCGGAGGTTGAGAGGGAGACCATTTTGGAACGGCAGCGGATAAGTTGGGTGCTGAAGCTTGCACGGCCGAAGACAATGAAGCGGAGGGGGAGGCCATGACCAGCTCTGTCCAGGGTACCGAATCTGGTGTCACAATACCAATACCGTTGGACGATGCAGGAGTATCTCCTGATGCAACTCTCCTGTCAGTTGATACATAAAGGGGATCCAAAAGTACTCACTGGAATCAGCCGTGGACAGGGGTATCTTGTGACCAGGAGACGATTTGGGAAACTGCTGTGAATGATTTACTGAGCATAAGCTTCAATGAACCCAGAGGAAAAGAAACTGCCTCACAGGCCACCGAATCCAAATGCGATTCCAGTCGCGTTTCGGAAGCAGGCAGGGAGGCAGAGGGGGTTGGAAGGAGATCGGGCTGAGCTACTTTATGACAAGGAGATGGAGAAGAAGCCCCTCTTGAGCTCAGCTGGGGTGGTTCAGGAAAGGGCGGCGGTTTGTTCACTGAGCATAAGCTTCAATGAACCAAGAGGAAAAGAGAATGTCTCACAGGGCACCGAAACCGAAACTGACTGGATCTCCGAAGCTGTCCTGTTGATAGAAGAAGGCTCAATAGGGTGAGAAGGACCGGCTACATAGTTAGTAAGGGGTGAGATAATCTTCAGAGGAGACACTGACATGTTGATGGTGATTGTGCACTAGGAGCATACACTTTCGGAGGTCGACCACGAAAAGGCGACTTTCTCTTTAAAGCGTTGAGAATGAGTTGATCAGCTTGATTATTCTGAGACATAAAGCTTGTGAGCTTAATTCAGTAAGTTACTATTATGTTTAAATCAATGGAAAGAAGATGATTGAAATAAGAAGAGGAGAAAAATGATTGCCCAATCACCGCCAAACAGTGCCTAGGGTTGAAGGACACATCCTTTCGGGGGCGTTTCCGAATTTGAACTCCAAATGGCTGTAGAGAACCAAGGACTCCGAATTCGGAGGTTCTGCCCGCATGAATGGCTTCAGAATACGTGTGGCAACCCATAGATATGCAAGAAGCCACGGTAGGATGCATATTCAATACAGGGGGGATTTGGGGACATTCCGTAGGTATTTGGGTCAGTAGTGGAGGGATCCTCGGGTTGAGTGACGTATTTTGGGAGAAAGTGGCAAAATTTCGTCGGGATTAATTCGAGTTCCGTCGGGATTATCCCTACGCGCAGGTCAGTTCATAACCCGAAATCTTCAACCGAGGCGGGGCTCCGCGGTCAAGCTCTAATTGGCCTGTAGCTTTGCCAGAAGTGACTCTCTCTTTTCAATGTACCCTGTCTATCGCTAGACGCATAGACAAAATGGAAGCTCTCTCAAGAAGAGAAGAAGAATCAGTGATGGAACTTGCAAAATCTCAAGCTTTGAAAGCGTGTGATGATTTAGTCCGTGGTGAGTATCAACTTCCTACCCACAACTCCCACTAAACATGTGACTTGGAAGAAAGGGTTTGCTAAGAAACAGCCTTTGCTCATTGTGCCGAAGGGAGGACGTTTTCTTTACCATTTGCTTGTCGAACACATTTGAATGCTATGCAAGGATGTATGAGAGAATAGTGAGTTGTCCCATCCAATCTTACATTCACCTCTCCCCTCCTCCTTCCGTTCCCGGGGAGCCCTCCATGATCCCATGGCTCAATCGAGAGCACGGGTGAACGCCTTCTGTATTTATGGACTGGGTTTGATGAGTAAGGTGGAACTCAGCCGAGATGCTACCAAGAGGATAACAAAAGATGAAACTTATGAGACGGCTAATAAGACAGCATGACTCAAGATCGATTAGACGATATGAAACTTGATTATATAGCTCATCGATCGGAGAAAGGTAGACAAGCTGTTGAAGAGCTGAAAGCTGCCAGACTTGTAAAATTGAAAAAGATGATGGGGAGGGGTAACGAAGTTTGAACTCATAATCTATGTACAAGTACGTGGTGTCTCTTTCCTTCATCACTTTCATCTCTCTCCTCCGTTTGACTATCCTCTTGACGGGGTATCAGTGAGTATGAATTTATAGATTAATGTGCAGTTTCGACATATTTTTTTTTCATATATCATCATCCTCTCATATATCCACCTCCCCTATAAGATCATCATGAATCATACCTTCTCTTGAAATGATCCATTCGAATTGACCGTATATCCACATACACTCATGAAATCTTCATCACCCAACACATCATTCATTACCTCCCTAAACTCTGACGACTCTTTGGTCGAGTTAGACATGACGTCCCCTTCGTCATTTACTTGATCATACTCCACCCGTACTTCTTCTGTAGTGGGAGTGAGAGGATCATCCAAGTTCATCTGGGGATATAAAGATAACGCCTGGTTGCGGGCGTTTGTTAGTTTGGTAGAATTCCCTGTTGATGAGATGGTAGAAGATTCCGTGATTAGGTTAGTCTGATTATCAAATCCCTCAATATCGGTTGGAGTGATGGGAGAATTTTCATTCAGCGTATCGGGAGACTGGGATGTTTCTAAATCCGGAATTTTCCCAACGACGATAATTCCGAATCCATCGTTGTCCAAGCTGGGCCCTGCCAATGTCAGCTGATTCAATCTCCATGTGAGGAAAACCCTCGACTGACCTGACACCTCTGCACGAGTGTCGATGGGTTGAATCTGGCTTTGAGTAGTGTTCATTTCTTGACTTGTGTAGATTGATATGCGATTGATGATGTGGTTGTTTTGTAGGTCGGAAGTGAGAGGGCTTTTCATATAATACATCAATGTCTTGACGTCTTCTGATAAGTACAAAGGGTTACTCCTCTCTCTTTACACCGACAGGCGTCAGCTGCTGGGCGGAGTACGAATTAGTCGACTTCTCAAAACCTCGCATGTCACATGTCGTCTTCTTTCTCCGCTGACTCCGTGCTTTTCCTTTATCAACTAAACTGCCGGGCTAGCTGCCATCCTTGTGCTATACAAGCGAGGAGGGCATCTATGGCGAAACCTCGTTTGTCGTAATCTGTGGTCAGTACATGTCTTCCTCGCCGATTCTCCCTCGTCTCCCCTGGTCGTCCTTGATCCATGGCGACCTGTGCTTCACTCACCTGAGAGAACCGCGGAGAGATCTTGCAATGGAATGACTCGTTTCACTATGTGTTCTCCCTGCGATATCAGCTTCTGACGATTCACGAAAATCCTGAATCAGCCGTCAAAGTCTATGCAAGCATCAGTACTCGAGCACGTCTTTCCATGGAAAGACTCAATATAGCAAGCATATCGAAGATATGAAGTTGACAGTGAGGAGGAAGAGAGGGAACATTTGAGGTTGGAGCAGGGACTAAACTCACCTCGTCAAGCTTTTGTTGAGGTTCCGGATCATTCTTTCCCAGATTGACATTGATAGTAACTAATTGCATATTCGCACCTGTCATCCTGTTCCTCAGTATACGTCTCCTGCAATTCAAGTGGAATTGATTACGTACCCAGGATCTTATACTAAAATACTAGATACTTGACCGACTGTGACATCCCCGTGATCGGCTTTTCCTGATCCATACCCCGTTTCTTCATGTAGTTCCCTCAATGCAGCAGTACTGTTCCATCAATTAAACACATACTACTACTTCTGTTAAGCGCTCACGCCGAATCTTCTCCTTCGTCCACTAGTCCAGCTGGGAGTTCTCATATGTTAGCGGACGTGTCCATAATGACAATCGCATCTCAATGTCCATTGTTACACTTGACAGTCCCAAGAACCGATGGTCATGATCAAACAAGCGGGGTCATCCTAAATATGATGTCTCGATAGGGCAGAGATCTCGGACCGGATGAGGTTGAGAAAGAAACGATCGAGGTGACATTGGAATGTGAGTGTAATTAAGAGATTGAATGACGAAGAGGATGTTGGGCGGAGAGCGAATGACATACCAACTACTGTCTTCCCTGCCGGTGGACGATATTGTTCAATGATCACAGTCGATACGGGCTTATTTGGATGATGTAATAAAGCAAGTATATGTACGGCTTTTCAACTCAGTATTAAGTATCAGCATACTCTTAAAATATGGGAAGACTCACAATCTACTATCCCTTTTCTCGTAGTTCGATTGGCTGTTTCCCACACACGCTGCTCGTCAGCTGAGTGTGCTGGTGCTTTTTCCCATAAGTCTGTGGACTATCAAGAGGGCTGATGAGCATTCTGCAGAATGATCGTAAGGGCATCAGGAAAATTGTATCAGTTAGCGAAGAAGAAAACACTCACCTCCTTGCCTTCTTCATCCTTCCATTTGATACGTTCCATCTTCAACCATTTCGCCTCCGTCTTGAGCTCCTCCGTCGAGAGGATTTCAGGTTCTTGTTTCGTGCTCATGTTGCGTGAGCAAAGTAAGACACGGAGAGCGATCGTCAGATGTCTTGAGGAAAGGAGTGTAAGGGGTGATAGTTGTAATGACATGCTGGAAGGAAGAACACCTCCTTCAGTCGCCCGGATAGGGAATGTCAGTGAGGTGAAACAATTCATGATAACCCGCTAATTCGCTCATGCTGCCTGCTGAGCCATAAGTACCGCTTGAAAGTATACATGAGAGTAGATATGTAAGGATACTTGTGCATCATCCCCTCATCTCATCGCGGCATGCATATCTGACTCGGGCTATGTACATGGATTTGAACCAAGCAAGCGACTCATGGAGAAGCGACTTTAGCAAGTCATTAGTCACCACTTGGATCAAGCTCCGCCTAAGCTTATAGCGACCTCCATACCGCGAGCGAAGAACCAGAGCCCAGAATCTACGGCAAAGCCTCGCGTTTCATAATCTGTTATTAGAATGACTCGCACTCACACACACACTCACCTTGAAGCGTCGAACGAAGTTCGCTCAGAGGTACCACTACCCGACGGACAACTTCACCCTATAGGTTTAGCAACATGTCACCCCACAATTCCTATAATGATACTAGCCAGCTCTTTACCGTGTCATGAGGTCGTTCCGCCCATTGGTATGAGGATAGACCTCGGAAAGGGATTACACGAAGCCACACGGGTTGTAGACGCATGTCACACAGGAGGATACATGACGGGACTCACCTTGTCTGGTCGCGACTCGGGCAGCTTGTTCAAATCAACTTCGATATTGATCTCTGTAACCTGCAGGCTCTCATTCATTGCCCTGCCGATCAGCATCCATACCCTACTTTTCATACGAACGTACCCCGGATTCCGTTGGAGAGGAAAGGAGACTTGTGTAGAAATAACCGTCCCCCCCCCGGGTCGTTCAGAGCCATAGCCCGTTTCCTCAGCTAATTCTCGTAGGGCGGCAACCCTAACTCGTCAATGCATGTCATTTGCATTGCCTAGCAATTGACTCACTGAGCACTTTCGGTAGTGCCCACCATACCCCCGGGCAATTCTGGATGATCAGCAAAACATCCCAACGCATGGACACCTCCTGAGTTCATCACGTTACCTGTTGTGACGCTTATATCTGAAAATCAAGAGACGCATGTCATGCCGTCCGAATCGCCATGGGAGGAGACTGGACGGAGGACGACTCACCAACTGCCCACGTTCCTGTTGCAGGGCGAAGCTGCTCGACGAGTACCACAAGAGTGTTCCCCAGAGAAGGTTTGACCGTGTCTTTCACCGGCTCATAGCCTACATTCAAACATGAGACGTATGATTTGACACTTTGCCAAGCCCCAAGCAATGTCTGCCACACAGTGTCACAAGTCCCTTCTCTCGTAGTTTCCATCCCTGATGATAGCTTTTCAGGATGAAGGAATGCCAAAACGAGGGCAACTTCTGGTCAATATAATCTCAGGCTCCTTGAGTAACTTACTGTTAGGTACTACGTCTGTACAATGTTTGAGGAAGTCGTAGTCCACCTATACATGAGCTGCACAACACTTACCACCTATCCACAACAACAGTGAGGAAGTATGAACGATACGACCGCAGGCTAAGAAAAATTCTCCACACCTGCGTGGCGAGGAGTAAAGTTTAAAATACGACTTCTTCTGAGAGTGTCTGTCCTGATCCGCATAACAAGGCACTATCCCGAGATTACCTCGGGCAGTTTGTGGACAACATAGAGCAGGCTGAGGGGACATGAGAGCTTACCGGGTTGCCATTGTCGTCCTGGTAAGTGATGCGCACGAGCTCCATCCAATTAGTAGCCTTGAGCACTTCGGTTTTGAATTCGGGCACTGGCGGACACACAGTGCTTGGATAAGCATCAGTAGTGATAGTTTCAGGGTTGGTCATGTTGTATATTGGAATAATCGAGACAGTCGCAGATTGAAGGGTGAGGGACAATCGTGAATACAGTTATAGTTGATTCAGGTTGATGGAAATCGATGTAATGAATGGACAAGCAACCAGAAGGTTGCCATCATGTTGACGCACTAGCAAGGAGAGCTACACTGCGTTAGTGGCTATGTTGGAAGGCCGGTATCGAAACGGAGCGAAGGATGAGGTCATTGATCATTGACAAGGGAAGGAAAACGTTGAGTGTCTTCTAGGATGGCTGCGTAAAGTGACATTGAGTCATCGGACAAGGGAGGAATGCCCGGCATTTGGGCTATGCAGGTGAAGTCGTGGGAACGTGTGAAAGTTCGAAAGTGTTGATTTGTCGTAAAGCGTGAGGGGAAAGAGCTGAAGTATCGGAGGAGGTCATGAGATGAAAATCAAACGATGAATGTAAGTGAAGATGGAGAGTATCAACGTAGCGCAGAAAGAAGGCTTTCTCGTTGTTGTCAGTCGGTTGTTCGGTCGGTCGTTACAGTAGGATGAGAGACGATCCATCAAGGAACAAGGGAGAGGGAGGACACACTGATCACTGACATTTTGATGGTCGAGGAGTTTCTTCGGTTTCACCTAGTTATGGCGACGTGGCGCGTGGCGGAGTGGCCAGTGGCGGTACCTATTCACATCCTTCTCATAAGTCATCTATGATCATCCATATTACCATGCGCGACTGGCATAGTACTCATAACAAGTGGAGGGCTTCTGTTCCTGAGGGAAGACATGATAAGGATAAAGGTTGTCGTGGCGTGTAAGTCACAGTAGGAGATGGCCGGACGGAGAGCTACAAAACCCACGCTTCCGATCATTCACACTCGAGTGTGAACTAAGTGAAGACAACATGCACGTCCACTCAAATATCTCTCATTTCATCTCTCATATGCACACCCTAAGCTATATCTTCAGCATTCCAAGCACAACTCATCACTACTATCAAAGGGAGATATGTATGATACTCCACCGCACATCCAGACTCTCATCAGAACCAACTGGTAGGAGCAGGTCTCAGTCTGGGCATGTTAGAGTCGTGACATCGAGGTCTGATGAGAATGCAACAGGCCAATGCGGAGGCCAAACTCATATGCCATAGCAAATGTCATGACTGTTGAGTCTACCATGATTCCTTCTTTGTCAAATACTGTCGTCAGCGCGTCTATCTGTGGATGGACTCACCCTTCAGGGTTTTGACCACGCCATCAAGTGGTATGAGTATTGTTTGACAATCTTCATGCTGTGACAAATGTCAGTCAGGAACACGTAGTGTGGTTCAGGAGCCGTACGATTGATGTAGAAGATACATCTCTGACTTGACAGCATTATCTCACCGGCGGAGTAACTGTCTGAAGGAGGTGAGGAATTCTGATAAGGAACACTCACCGTGCCTAGTTTTTGGTCACATTCATCCATATTTGACAACTCAAAAATAGCCAAATAACCAGTTTCAGTAGATGTCCTGACTGTCAACGTAATTCTTCAACACACTTACTACGTACGCCGGGTTCCTACAAACAAGACCCGAGGTCTGACTGGTGCGGTATTTTCCACTATCGTCTCCATCTCGCGGAAGTTTGAAACCTCCTTCTTCTTCTGTTTCCCGACCAGCGGTCTCACTAATGAATCAGCTCAGCATATGATACAGAGGAAAGGCTCACAGACCAAGCTCTTCAGGATCAGGTTCTTTGGAATCATCCGTCACGGCTTCTGTAGACCCTCCAAAAAACTCTGTTCAATCAACATCGTTCTCACATTGCAAGTGGATGAACATTGAGGTTTTGGGCAATGTCTCCATGAGCGGAGGCTTATCAAATGGGTGGCGCGACGAAGAGTACCAACTCACCAATTGTATGATGACGTGTAGCAGGACGACTTTGCACTGTGAGAACGAGGTGGATGACTCCATCTGTTTTGACCGTCACGATACCTAACGCACCTTGTCCAATCAGTATGTGGCACGACGTACACGAGAACGGACCTGTAGGCGTCATATTCGACTTCGGGGCCATGTAATGGCACCAAGACTGTACATTAGTTCTGGAATACTTCTAAACTTGAGATCAAAAGCGACGGCGAGACAAATGGCACCCCGGATGGAATCGGGAAGTGCGGCATTCAAGCCGCCAAGGGGACTAGCCGCATGCAGCGGAAATGAAGAAAAAAAAGGTGTGTGTGTGATGGGGGGAAGGGGGGGGGGGGCGAGAGTCTGCCTACCTCTTCACCACCATCCTTGGAGTAGGGCATCGATTCCAACCTCATACGTGAAGTTTCGCCGATCACATTGGTGCGATCGGGTTTGGTGTGCAGCCTGGAGGTATTGAGTATGCTTTTGGCAATGGCTGTGGCTGACATAGTTCGGGTATTGAGGAAGTGGGGTCTGGTAGCATTCGCGCTGCTGTTGCCATCATTGTTTGTCATATTGTGGATTGAAATATGTTAATAGACGTGAGTTTGAAGAAGAGTAGGATTCGATCACCCCTCGTAAGCACTTTAAGTATCTTCGGCCAAGGAGATGGAGCTGACATTTACCGTCAGGAGACTGAAGAGATCGTTACTCCGCCTGCCTTAGATGGTTCGATGGGAAGCGTCGATAGGGCGGTATCTCAACCTATGCGAATGTTCGAGGGTCATGGACGAACCGCGGCCAGATAAGTCGATGGGAACCATTGATAAGGCGGTATTTCAACCTATGGGAAGCAACTGCCAAACATCGGTGAAGGGAGGGAAATACCGCATTCGGATCTGTGGAGTGGGAGTGTGAGTTTCATGAGAAAGGCCTGATATCGGAGTGAGATAAAACGGGTAGAAAGGGAGATTGGAACGCCGAGAAGAGAAGATGAGAAAAGCGCCAATATATCAGAGAAAGGAAATGTTGCTTTGTACTCACTATAGACTATGCACGAAGAGGAGTCCATGGTATTCATGGTAATCTACACCTTGACCTTCTTCTTGATACCTAATAATTTCTGCATCCCCTCTCTCTTCCTCTTGATCTGCATTTGCGACGTAGAACTCCCGTTGATCCCGTTCGATCCGGAGTTGCCAGCTCCTACCACGTCTATTGCTTTCCCTTTCGCAGCGAGGATACTAGCGACAGTTGGTTCCGCTGTCCCTTCCACTGGCCTACGTTTGATCGTCAGAGCCGGCAACATGCTTCCCGTCTCTTCTTCACTGTCGGACTTCTCGCTGTCCTCTCCATTCTCATCATCTTCGTTGGATGCATCCTGGTCCACAGCTTTCTGCTTGCCTTTGCCTTTGATATCGGTAATGGGTGGGACAATGGTAGGGTTGATCTTGGAAAAGTACTGTTTGACTAAAGCGTCGTCTTCTTCTTCCTCAGCTCTGCGCTTGACTTCTTCAGCGGCGGATTCACGCTCCGCATGAAGGGCTGCAAGGAGGGCGTCAGGGTCGGCGTTTACATTCGATAGTTCGAGTCGTGCGTTTCGTTGTCTGTAGATGAATCAGCTCGGACCCTTGCAGCGAGCATGAATATTATGAAGCGTGACCGGACGTGAAGATAGGCAGACTACGATGATGATAGACTCACCTCAAATCGGCTAGCTCATCCATCATTTCCATCTCCCTTCTACTCTGTTCCTGACTCCGTTCCAAATCAGCCATAGCATCCTTCTCTACCTTCGCCTCGGTCGGATTCCCATCTGAATCGTACTCATCGTCCGCAGCAGCGTCGGGCATTGCACCAACCCTCTTGTTCGGATCCGCATCAGACCAATTCTCGAAGTTACGGGTGGCACCATGTTCGCATATGTAGTCGGCGTTTTTAGGGTCGGTTTTGAATGTGATTTCAGACGAGCACATGGGGCATTTCTGAGGGTCAAACCCTGGCCACTTTGTCTTTTCCCGCTATCGCTATCCCTCTTGTCTTCCCAAGACGGACTTGACCCCTTCAATCTTATGTGTACGTAAATCGAAATCATCCGATGATCTTCACGCGATATGAGAACATAGCTACAGGGCGGGAAGAACTCAAACGACGATAAAGGAGACAGTCATGAAGAAGAAAAAGATAATAAATGATAGAGATATATAGGTTGAACAGAAGAGTATGAATAGAGGTAGTAAGGGATACGAGGAAGGGAGAAAGGATTAGAAGCGACAATTTACTCACGATATAAAACCTGAAAATCTTAATCCCATAATATTCTTCCCCTACCGCCGTTTCCTTCCTCGCGTTGAATTTCTTTCCCTTATATACATACTCCCCACACCTATTACACCTCATAGAAAAAGGAGCCATCAATCTGATGACCTGTTGAGGATCCTTCATACCTTTTCGACGTTTGATCTTCGAAGGATCGAAATCCGGTGGGAAATATTTATTCAATACTTTACGTTCAGACATTTTGACTTGTTCTTCTAGGTTGAGATGGCGCCAGCCGGGGGGGAGATTGTACTGTTACTGATATCGCGACTCTCTGGACTTAACAGTCAATATCTAAGTATGAGAAAAGGTAGGAGAGGGGCAGAAACAGTCACTGAGAAACGGACAAAGCGAAAGAGAGAGAAAGAAAGAGAGAGAGGCAGACGGGAGGGAGTGAGGAAGACGTGACATTGGTGGCGACGAGTTAGTTTAAATGAGAGGCATTAATAAACTCATGATCGCATCAGATCGGTACTCGCCGCCTTTCTCCTTCCTCCTCACCTACCGCCTCTCCTTTACTTTTCATGGTACATATCACCATCTTCTCATACTCCCAATCATCCCATTCCATCCGTAATACCCCCCGAATCTACTTTTAATCCACTCAAGAGATGAAACAATCCAAATACGTAAAGTGGCACCCATCTACGTGAGTCCATACATTTTCAAATCCGTAATCGACCCTGACGGCGTTCCCGTCGATGAAAAAACGTATACCACGTAATATATATATAAACAACGTCTGACCCCTTTTCATGTTCTTTCTCAGTCATTTCTTCCATAACATTAGAATTCGACTCATATTCAGTCATTGAAACGACATTCCATACATATCTACCACATACTCGCATATCATCTTTCACCCCTACTATAAACGACATATAAGGTACATAGTATGGTCTCTACTCGCTATATGCCTTATCCTATCCATCCCAATACCACCCGTCCCATGAAGTCAATCCTCACCGTTAAACTCCCTCAACATTTTCCTGTTCCCAGGGCGACGACCATATCCCCCACTACTACCCTGTCATCCGGGACCAGAATGACTACCCCTCTTCCTAAACGCGACACTCACCGAGGCGTTCCTACTTCCGCACAGACCTTGTTTGTCGACTTGACGACACCTTCCCCTACTCCCACTCGACCTGACGACCGTCATGATCCCATTCAATCCAATCACACACCTCCAACACCAGTCACCAGATCAAACCACCCGACATTGTGTATACCTCCCATTCCACCCTGTCCTTTACCTCACAACATACCCACATACCTCCTTAACCCTGTCCAACCCTTCAGACGCAAAGACCACCTTGGTTCAACTATCACGTCCCGCAACACAGGACCACCCTCACTGTCAGACCTCAGAAGAAACGGTATCGAAATTGTCCCTGTACGTGATGACGTGTTCGAGCCTCTTTGTGGCGAGGCACGCGGAGGGACGTCCGACCCATGTTCGTCGAGTATCTTCCGACCCAACTTGGTGGCGACGGAGAACGTGCAGCAGGGGCGAGCCTGGGAAGTCCAGAAAGCTGCAGCCGAAGGTAGAATAGGGTATAAGAGAAAGTTCATGGAACTTACCGTCGCTTCCAAAAGACACCAAACGCCACTCAACTTTACCGAGCTCAACCATGTGACCGCAAAGACGGAGCCTGTACGTAAGCGGACTCTATATGCCGATAGCCGACCACGTCGAACTTTTACGACGGATAAGAATCACCGAGCTGGGCAGTCCGCCACATTCTCTGACGCCCAGGTCCGGCGAGCCTCCCAGAGGTATGCGCTGAGGAAGACAGGGCAGCGTGTCGGATACGAAAACTGGCAGGAGAGGATTGCGTTTGAGACTTGTGGCGTTCAGTTGGGAGAGATCGGAGGGCTGGTGTCAAGATATGGATCATAGTGATCAGAGGGTTAGCGATATCGGACGACAAGAAGGTACGACATGGTGTGGCGATTAGAGAGGATCAGGAGACATCAGTATGTGAAAACGAGCTTGTGCATGATGGTCGTGTTTATTTGGGATATAGATACAATGGGAACTCGGTGGTGATCTGTAGACAATTTATCTGATTAGGTCAGCAAAGAATGCAACAGGAGTTTCGCTCACCTATGCTCTGGGTATCGGGAATTGGACATTGCTCCCGAAGAAAGGGCAGTGAATGCCCACGGGAAGCCGCGGACGAGCAAGCGACCACCGAAGTTCCCCACAGTGACCTCCTTCCATCCCGCTCTCCTCCCTACGTGTGCATGAGGTATATGCGAGATTTGATGTACGATTCTCGTTTTGAAGGCTGTGGCATGTGCTGACAACGTTGATGAATGATCGCCCTTCGAGCTCGAACAACGACAGAACCTCGTCGGCGCAGCTGTACAGCGCCGGCTGCACCCCGACCTCTCGCACGACCACCATCCTCCCCTCCCCAGCCTCGGCGCTGAGCGAGGGCCATACGCCCAGAGGACACCGTCAAATGTCTAAACGTCAGCGCTGAACCTCAGAGGTAAAGAAGACCACGCACCACTGTCGCCGTCCGAGTCATAGAACTCGTCCTCGTCTTCGTCATCACCCAATGTCTCGAATGCAAGTTTGTAGCGTAATATTCCTCCAATGCCACCAAATCCCTTAACAAACTGACTGCCCTCCTGAGATTTGTTGGTGACGAACTCAAGGGAAGCACCAAAATCCTTGTACTTCTCGGCGAACCACTCAAGCAGGAGCTGAGGCTCGGCAGATGGGTCCATTTCTGTCCCAGTGGCTTTATCGATGAACTTTTCTCGATCTTTGTCGTTCGGATTGGAGTAGACAATGACCTCTTCTGCAATCTGTCAGCACTGCTCGACTGGTGAACGACGGAATGAGAAGAGGCGAGTGAGGATATAAGCGAGTGAATCATCAGTGAGAGAGATACTGGAGTGGTGACTCACCACCTGCAGCGTTTCGCAGAGTGTTGCGAACAATGTCCAGATTCTCCCACACGATCAAAGTCTCTACCGCACCCATGTCCAACGCCTTGAGAGTGTCCGTGATACCGAAACAGTATTTGCCGGAGTCAGTGGCAATTTCGTCAAAGTATTTTTGTATCAATTTTTTCTCCTGGACAAACTTGACGTTGGCTAAGGAGTCCGCGGCCAGTTCAATAGCTTGATTGAATCCATTCTCCCCTCCATATGACACATCCACGACTTTGACCACCTTGGCGAGTAGACGTGGGTCAAATAGATCACTTCCGCTCAAGTCGGTCTTCAGTTCGGCACTACCAGCCAACACCAAACCAGCCACGTTGACCTTGTCGTTGGTGATAAAATGCTGCACCGCTAATTCGGCAACTTTGCGGACATAGTTCCGTCTCGCTTCTTCACGCAAACGAGAGAAACGAAGAGCGGATTGACCACCTCGACCATGTTTCTTCGGCAGGTCGACTGTGAATTTATGAACGATTTCACGCGTGTTTCCCGATAATGTACCAAAAAGAGAGCCATTTCCGTCTATGATGATGAAACCCCACTTGGAGTCGGTTTCGAGTAGCTCTTCGAGTGCTTCGACGTGAAAACGGGAGTCGCACATGTACAGGGAGGTATTGATCGGCTTGAAAGGCTCTAAAGCGAAGGAGATCTTCTTTTCTTTTCCTTCGTCATTCAAGACGGTACCGACGAAAACACACAAGCCATTGTCAGGAACCCGGTTGTATAGCTTGAGCTTCTGCTGAGTGGACGTGATGGCGGCGAGCACGGACTGTCTAGATTCAATCAACACAGGCCACAGCGGCATATTGGCAGGACGAACCTGTTAACTCGAGATTTGATATTGGAAGCAGTGCCGTATTCAGCGGTAAGCATGTTACTCGCTTGAGAAATCTGGGATCCTGGAGGCGTCAGTATGGACACCGTGGAGGACAAAGGGCAGACTCGCGAGGTGGGAGGATGAGGGTGATACATGATGTTCCAGCTCCCCTGGACACCGCCAGCATATTGAGAAGCTTGCGGTATCTCCATACCTATACACTATCAGTACTAAATCGAATATGTCAGTCTGATGAACCCACCTCGATGGCCTGATCGGTCTGAGCGGTCAGCGCGTTCATACTGTGCGAAGACTTGCACTGACCTCGTCTGACGACATTTTGAGGACTTTCTAGCGCCACTCTACCGATACCTATAGTTCTGACGCGACCGGTGATGACACTGGCCAAAGTCTCGAGATCCGAGTCTGTTTTTGTTGGTGACGATGACAACGAAGGCTAAGGCGAGGAAGAAAGGAAACTTGAGGTGGCCGGGATTACTCGGTGTTTACGGATCTCGCTTCGGGCTTCTCGTGTGGCACGTAGCCCTAAAGACTTCTTCGGACTCATCGGCTCCGACGTCACTAGGCTTGCTCAGCATCAAGGTGGTGCATCACGAGCAAGTCAGCCAAGTTCCGTCCAATTCTTCCTATCTTCGACCTTGGACTCACTCTCATCTCGGATCACTGCAGAGGCCCTCATCACGTCATGGCTCCCAGCAATCTCAGCGTCGTCGAATCCCCCGACCAATTCAAGACTCTGCTCTCGGAGGACTTGTCAAGGGTCTCCTGTCTCGTCTTCTGGGCGCCATGGGCAGAACCTTCGGCTGCCTTCAACAAGGTTGTCGAGGAAGAGGCCCCCAAGTTTCCTAACATTCTCTTCCTCAGCGTGAGCCCGTCTTATCATTATCATACGTTGTGCATCGTGCTTACCTCTCAGATCGAAGCAGAGGCGTTGGCAGACATTTCAGAATCGTTTGATATCGAAGCAGTCCCTTCATTCCTTCTCTTACGTGTACGTATCTTCACCCCTTGTCCACCCTTTTCCCTTCTTGGCATCGGTCGAATCCTTTCCCTCGCCTCGTTCTCGTTTACTCTATGACCCCACTCGACTTCCAAACCCCCATTCATCCTACACACAGCTCAAACCGCACAGCCATCCCTCTTACGCACATCCTTTGTTACGTTCAAACTCCTCCCCGTTTCATCTCTCTTGGTGGCAAGCTACACGGTCCGAACATATTGAATGCTCATACACGTCGCGAGCGTCTTGTATCGCTCCGATGACGTTATTTCCATTGATATCATCGCGCTACGTTTGAGAGCGGGTCACCGCAGACTCCCTCCCTCTTTGCTTGTGTATATATAGACGCATATCGCAAGCAGGTGACCTTCCACCCACCTCATTTCCATCCATACTCAACTCGCTGCTTACTGTGATGTCCTTGAGCTATCACTGAGAATATCATTCCAAACTCAAGCGATTGTTGAGATCAAGCGCTGACACTGTCTCGCTCTTGTCTTTGTACCCTCGCCATTGCCCCCCCTGTCTTTCCAACTGGTTGATATTATGGACGCCAACCGTGACGCTCCGGCTGTTCCTCTCCTTGGGCCCCGTCGTCCCTTACCTGAGTCATCGCCCTCACCGCTCATTCCCTCTCGTCCTATTCCTGCTCAACTCAACACGGGCGTTCCTCGATCCTCGCTTCCGGGCTCACCTTTTCTGCGCAAATACTCCAATCCAAACACTCCCAATCGCTCCGCTCCTCGGACACCTCTTGCATTCTTGACTCGCACTCCATCTCTGAGCGACTCGGGATCTACCATCTCATCCTCATCTTTGTGGCCATTACGCACGCCCAACTGCTCGTCATCGGTCTTGAATGACTTGCCGTTCCCGTCACCCATGGAACTTACTCCTCATCAACTCGTAATGAACAAATTCAAATCCTCCCCTCCATCCTCTCCGCTTCACATCAAGATCCCCCCTTCCCGCTTGTCCACCTCGGAATGCGGCTCCCCCGATCTCAAACCATTCAATGGACCATCACCTTTGGTCAAGATGACTCATCTCGTCGTCCCTGCATCACCTCAAATCATGTCGGCTGAACGACTTCTCGAATTGCACCCTAATCCCGATGCCGATCAACATCCGATTGGATACCCCTTTGTCAATCTCAACAAAGCCTCTCCACCTGTCATGTCGTCCGGACATATCATTGATCGACAATCTTATCATCCTCGTCATCGGGACGCGACATGTGACCGACGCGGATCTGGATTGTCCAATGAAATCAACGCACTTGTCATCGACGACACCGATCACGATGACCATCGATCAACTGACGAGGCCTCACATTCTGCCTGCTCCTCTTCTCATCACGCCTGAGCGCTCCACCGGTCTTTCCGCTGTCAATATGTGTCATTTCCTCATGCTTTCACTTATAGGGCCACACGCTCCTTGCTCGACATTCAGGGGCCGATGCCACTCTTCTCCGCTCCCTCCTGGCTCAATACTCTGGCGCTCCTGCCCCCACTACCACTCCCCTGTCCACGTCAGACGCCACCCCTCAAGCTCCCCCGGAACCCCCTCGTAAACGCACCGAAGAAGAGATAGTGGCGAGATGCAAAGAGTTGATGAACAAGCACAAAGTGGTGCTCTTCATGAAGGGAAACCCTTCTGCACCCAAGTGTGGATTCTCGAGACAGACAGTGGGTCTGCTGCGAGAGCACGGAGTCGAATTTGCTTGGTTTGATATTCTCAGCGATGAAGATGTGAGGCAAGGGCTCAAGAAGGTCAACGACTGGCCGAGTAAGTTCTTTGCGGATGCGTACGATGACCGGAGCTGACGGTGATAGCCTTCCCTCAGATCATTCTCAACGGGCAGTTGGTGGGAGGACTTGATATACTGCGCGAGATGATGGAGAACGGCGAGTGGAACGAGCTCTACACGGCGGCTATTGACAATGAGGGTGAGGGTGAAATGAAGGCTTAATCATGAGAGGAAGACATCTATTCGCCCCATCATTCATCCATCCATTGGCCACTGAGCAGTCCCTCCATATATATATTTCTCGTATTGTACGAGCTGTATTCATGATGCATTCAGATTTGTGTAAGTCACGAATAGAGACATGAAAAGTGCCACAAATGTCACGGGTGCCACGTCGAGCTTGAAACTCCGAAGTGACGGAATTGCCCCAACCTCACACACCCAACCCACCTTACTCGTACTGCTCACTACTTCCTACTACTCACTACTATCTCATCACCACCACTCCTCCATCTCATCCTTACTCAACCTGACTATCACTGCCTCCTGTCATCTCCTGTATCCCTTGAGCCCTTTGTCAGGCCTGCTCCTGCTTGTCAGTTCATATCCATCAGTCTGTCCACTCGATTACACAACAATAACCAACCTATACGCCTTCCGACCTCCCCCCTCCCCCCTTTGATCGATCCCGGGATGCACCTCGAATGAACCGCCCTCCCGGCCTCAACATCTCTTCCATCCCCTTATCAGGCCCCAGATCACCTTCCTCGGCGTCCCCGTTCATGGCGCTCCCTCCTCCTGGTCTGGGTGGGGGAGGACCTCGTGCCGGTCCTCCCCCGGGGTTCGCCAGTATGGCTCTTAACAATGGACCAGCCACTGGGGGTGGAGCCAACGATTCATCAGCTCTAGCCATTGTCAAAGCTCAGATTGTATTCTTGCTCTCCTCGATGACAGAAGAGAGCTTTGAAAGAACATCGAAAGAGCTCAAAAGCGTGAGTTCACGTTTCGTGATTTATATCAACCTCATGTCTCTGATGTTGTACACATGCTGACGAGGGACAGTTGGCGACTAACAACGGACCAGACATGTATCAGCATTTTCTTAGACGAGCGGCAATGGCATGTCAAGCTATCATGCAAGAGGCCATACGACATTATCAACAGTACATGGACGATCCGGCTGCTCCTCCATTGGAGTTACCCAAGAGTTCTAACAGTGCATTGGCATGGCGACTTCTCCTCGTGGAGGCTGTGAGAGCAGCTAAGGATATCTCTCTCGCTCCTCATTTCGCCGTTGTCATGCTCTCCTCATATCAATCCACTGCTCTACCCTTACCTCACCTTCGCATTCTCGGTTTATCTCCTTCACTAGATTTTTCTCTCTCCGCCTACGCCTTAGCTACTCCTCATATCTTTCCACCTACTCATCCAGCGCATGAATCGGTTGTCAATCTCCTCCGACAATCTCTTGGCAGAACCCTCGATCTTCTCCGCGCTCCTAATCTCCCATTCTGGTACATAGACACAATACCTCACCACCCACCCATCATTGACGATCTCACATTACAAGAAGCCAGAACTATTATACTCGCCGTTTATCCTAAATCATCTTCCTCTGGACAAAACTCACCTTCCCGATCTCCTTCACCCGCAAACCCGACCTCTCCCCATCCGTCCTTCCTTTCATCCCCCCAAAGAGGAGCTTTACTCAATGCTCTGACGATCAAATTTTCATCACCGGCTATCATCCTTCAAACCCTCTCAGCTCTCTCCCCAGGGGGCAGACCAGGAAGTGCAGAAGCTATACCTCTCGAGGATATACTGTTCGAGCTTGGAGAAAACCTCACACAGGATGAGGGAACAGTTGAGGCAGTGATCACGCGATGGTGGGCGCGATGGCTGCTTGAAGGACCTCGAGAAGAGGTAGAGCAAAGAGTGACAGAAGAAGCCAGCAGAACAGTGTTGGGCTTATGCGAGGGAATGCGGGATGGACGCATCACAGATGTTCATGGAGTGGTCAAAGGTCTGAGTGCGATCGTGCGTGTCACCGTATGTTGGCAAACCAAGGCTGACAAACAGGACACCATCAACTGGTCTCACGTGCTGAAGTCTTTCGACGCACCTTCCAATATCCTCGCTCAACATTCGTCCGGACAGCTTTTGCTCGCCCTGTTGTTGATCCCGCCGCAAAACCCACATCCTCCCATTGCGGGTCTCTATCCCGCCGCCGCCGATCAACCTATGTGGGCCAACCTATCAAACCTGGTCGCAATCACTCAACGCTTGACTTCCATCCCACCAGACGTATGCCCTATTTTCACGATAGACAATCCTCCTTCTCCTACCTCCTTCGCCCGCGTTGTCGACCCTCCAATCAATGAATCCTCCATGAGCAAAGTGGCCCGTCAACAAGCTCGCGAGATTCAGGGAGCAGGCGTCTTCAATGCCCTCGGTCTGTTGCAAGTGCTGTTCGCTGCGTGCAGTGTGGGTGACGGGGACCAAGATGGCAGTGAACTTGCCAATGCTGCTTCTCAGATCCTGGAGCGAGCCACCAACCTTGCACCGGAGCTGGTCTTGCTGGCAACTGAGAAACTCCCTCAACCTCTTCCGGCTGCAATTGCTGAGCTGCAAACTCGGCTACTGGCTTTATATCTTTCTACCCCACCCGCCAACATCACTGCCTCACAACTTGTTTTCCATCAAATGTGGCAAAACAACCCAGACTATCTAATGTCAATATTACTCGAGTACTACGGAGAGGATGAGCACAATCTGAGCAGAGTCGTGGAGATCGGCATCGAGATAAAGGTGAGTACCTCCGTCTCCCTGGAAGTCCGACGCTGATATGTGCAGATCCTGGATAAACTCCTTGCCTCAAGTAATTTGCATTTTTCATTCGATGTTGCCGCCCTCGTATCGAACAAAGACTACCTGAATCTGGAAGAGTGGCTTTCCGACGGTGTCGCCGTGAACGGCTCTGACTTCCTGCATGGCATTTTCGACTTTGTTGAACACAAAATCCGATTGGAATCAGATCATAGTCATCTTCCCGAAAGCTCCCCTCCCCTTCTTGACACGCTAGGAGAAGATGTCTACTCCATTTTCATCCGGGTAGTTCGAAATGCCGACAACCTCACCCCCGATGACATTGCTCGCTTCAAAAACCTTCGAACCGAAATCCTCATCCTCCAGCCGCGTTTGCTCAACTTACGACCGGGCAACAATGACGAGCATGGCTTCCATGTCGCCAAATTCAATGCCGAAATGCGAGAACGGGTGGACGAAATGTACCGACGCATGTACAGCGAAGAGATCAAATTGGACGATATCGTCGCAGACCTCAAGAAATGCAAAGAGTCGGAAGACGATACAGATCGGGAATTATTCGATTGTGCTCTTCATTCGCTTTTCGACGAGTACAAATTCGTTCGCTCATATCCTCCTAAAGAACTGGCGATGACTGGGATACTGTTCGGCGCTATCATCGACGAGCGATTAGTCAAGGACACACCAGCTTTCGTAGCTACGCGATACGTACTGGATGCTTGCAAGTCATCTCCACAGGAGAAATTCTATCAGTTCGGTATCAACGCCCTCAGTGTCCTTCGCCGATCACTGGTCGATTTTCCAGGTCTGTGTCGATCCCTTCTCGAGATACCGGCCATACATGAGTCTCATCCGGTCCTCGTGAACGAGATCACATCCGCGTTGGCCGAGAGAGAGGAGATGGACCAACAGGGTGGCATCAAACTCGCTTTCCCCGCTCTCAAACTACCAATTCTCATCGAAGAAGGCGATGACGAGTTCAGGGAGCCAGATCCCAAAAAACGCGACGCAATCATGTTCATCATCAATCAAGTCTCAGCTTCGAATTTTGAGACCAAGAGCCAAGATCTGGCAAAACTTCTTGAGGATCAGTGGTCGCGATGGTTTGCACATTACTTTGTCGATGTGCGGGTCAGCTTGGAACCCAACATGCAGCCGACGTATGTTGAGATTATGGATGCCCTTCATTCTGCCGTCTTCGAAAAACATGTTCTGTGGGAGACTTACCGCAAGGCTCGCGACCTGTTAAACTCTGAGCAAACACTCGCCTCCTCTACCGAGCGGGTCCTCCTGAAAAATATCGCGATATGGTTGGGGAAAATTACCCTCGCCCGTAACAAACCAATCAGAATCCGCGAATTGTCCCTCAAAGACCTCCTCATTCAAGGCTATGACAACAAGCGACTCATCGTGGCATTACCATTTGTCTGCAATGTACTCGCCTGCTGTCGCTACTCGATCGTTTTTCACCCTCCCAATCCGTGGCTGGTCGGTATTCTCAGCTTGTTGGTCGAGTTCTACCATTATGCCGAGCTTCGACTCAATCTCAAATTCGAAATCGAGTTGCTTTTCTCTGCGTTGGAGATCCAACTCGCGTCAATAGAGCCGGCCAACGTTCTCAGAGTTCACGTCCCTCCACCTGCACCTGGTCCAGATGTGCCCAATCGTCTTGAACTCGAGCTCCACAGGGCAATGTCAGAGATGATAGGTGGCACACAACGCTTCAATGAGCCGCCGGTCAACGATGCTATGGCTCGCATACACCAGATCCAATCCGAACAGGCTGTCGCTGCCGCACATGAAGCGTTCCTGCGCCGGGTAGACGAGTTGATCTCGCAACTTCCAGAGCAGCTCATCTTCAGCCCAGACTACCCAATCTTCCAAGCTCCTACCCTGAAGCGGGTTGTGCATCACTCAATCGATCGATCCATTCGGGAGATCATTACGCCTGTCGTCGAACGCTCAGTTACCATAGCGGGCATCTCGTCTCGAGATCTGGTATCAAAAGATTTTGGTATGGAGGGCGATCCGGCAAAGCTCCGTCATGCTGCCCATTTGATGGTCCAGAATCTGGCCGGCAGCCTGGCCATGGTCACTTGCAAAGAGGCTCTGCGCACCAGCATGATTGGCAACGTGCGAGCCATGCTAGCGCAGAACGGATACACAGATGAGAACATGCCAGACATGATGATTCACGGTGTTGTCAACGACAATCTTGGTCCGGCTTGCGCCATCGTTCGAATTGCTGCTATGGAAAAGGCAGCCAAAGATATCGACGTCAATCTCGGTCCGCAATACGCTGCGAGGAAGGCTCACAGAGAGTCGCGAAATCAACAACCATTTTACGACCCCGCTTCGTTCTCTGTCGTCATTTCCAACGCCGCACTACCGGATCCTTTGAGGTTGCGGAGTGGCGGGCTCAGTGCTGCTCAGGCTAGGGTATATGAGGATTTCAGTGAACCTCCCAAGCTGGCTCAAGCATCTGGCCCCATGAACGGCGATCATCTTACGGCATCTTATCGTGAACTGAGCATTCAAGATTCGCTCATCCCCGGTGACATCAAACATGGACCTTCACCTCGACCTTATTTGACCGACGAGGTTGAACGGGTGGCATCACCTGCTTCAGTCACTTCTCAAGCCAAAATGCTCGAAAAATTCCACGATATAGTCGGTGAGATCGAACGACTCATTGCCGAAGCTCAAGTCGACGACATCTCGGAGCTTCCGCCCAATCACGAGATCCGTTCGTTGGTTCATGCCATCGTGCTCCGAGCAGCGCAGTCCTCGGACAGGGAGGCGACTGTTTTGATGTCTGCACAGAAGACCGTGCAACTCTTATACAAGTCCAAATCTCCGCTCGGAAGGGACGTCTATACCCTGATGCTGCAGAGGTTGTGCGAGTTGTCCGGCAAAGTGGGAAAAGAAGTCAGGCAGTGGGTCATATACTCGGACGATCTGGTGAGTTTTCTTTTCCACACTATCTGCAGACGCTGATGATGGTAGCGAAAACTCAATGTGCCCGTGACTGTCAATCTCATCAGAGCGTCATTCGTCCAAGCCGCGGAGCTGGATGCTCAAATTGCCAATCTCCTCCTTCGCTCTTCCACTCCAGAAGTCATCACGTACGCCGCGGAACTTATTCGTCACTGTTGCCTCATCGATCATCCTCTGGTCCCCCGCAACGGCTTTGCCGCCACTCTTACGGCTCTCGTCAATCTCCACGACAGTGGGCAGCCCATGAGGGTCGTCGATGACTTACTGGATGATCTCCGTGTCGGACGTGATCGATTACGTGATACCCCAGTTATATCCAATGGCGACGACGAACATAAACCCGCTGTCGATGCCAAGTTGTCCGAGCGACTCGCCCACTTCTTCCTCGACTGGGTACGGGTCTTCAGATCCAGCAAGAATCCAGAAGCTGCTTTCGTTCCGTACATTCAGTACCTTCAGAAAGAGAATATTCTCAGCGGCGAAGACGTCTCCTCAGCCTTCTACCGTACGGCCATCAAGACAGCAATCGACCTGGACTCTTCTCGTAACGCCGATGGACAGCTACAATTCTTTGGTACCGATTCGTTGGCAAAACTCATCATCCTCATCGTCAAGAACTATGGCGACAAGAGCGGGGCTGCGAGCGTTTCACGCGCAGTGTACTATTATAACAAGATCATGACCATCATGTCGTACTCTCTCGTTCAAACTCATCTAGAGCATGGCGAGAATTTCGATCAACGCCCATGGACGAGGTTCTTCACCAGCATGTTGAGCGAGCTAGGATCTCTGGAACGAGGTCTACCGGACACATTCCATGGGTGCATGAAACACTTCGCCAACTCACTCGGCATCACTCAACCCGTATATGCCCCAAGATTCGCCTTTGGTTGGTTTTCCATCGTCACGCACAGGCTTTTCATGCCCAAAATGCTGCAAGGACCGAGAGACGACGGTTGGTCGGAATATCATCGATGCCTCATGTGGATGCTTCGTTTCTTATCACCCATGCTCAAGACGGGTGATATGACAGCTTCGTCAAGATTCCTCATCCGTGCTACCCTTCGTCTTATGCTCGTTCTCCTTCATGATTTCCCTGACTTCTTATCCGAGTTCTACCATACGCTCTCAACTGCCATCCCCACCACTAGCGTCCAGATGCGAAACGTCGTCCTCTCCGCTTTCCCATCGTCTGAAGCGCCTCTCCCTAGTCATTACGCCTCCCTTGCGGAACTTGTCCCGCTCATGCAACGATTCCCTACAGTTCGCTCGGACTACGTCTCCATTCTCAATTCCGGCAATCTCAAAGCTGGCATCGACCAATTCGTACGAAATGGTCAACCCACCCCACAGATCCTCGCTGGTGAACTCAAGAACCGCATAGCCGTCAAGACTCTCGCATCGGATGGAACACCGACCATCACATGGAATCATACCATGCTTCATGCTGTCACCTTTTACCTCGGTACTTCAGCTATCGGTCGTCGTGCGAGCCAATCAGGTCATGCATCATTCGACCCGCGTGCGGGTGAAGTCACTCTTCTGACTCATCTGGCTATAGTTCTTCCGCCAGAAGGACAATACTATCTTTTATCTGTCATTGCGGATCAACTTCGTTATCCCTCCGCTCACACTCTATTCTTCATTTCTTACGTCCTCTATCTATTTTCCGCCTCTTGCCGTTCAGCCACCGAGACGCCAAATGATTTGGCCGAACGTATCGCCCGTATCCTCCTCGAGAGGGTTTTGGTCAAGAAGCCTCACCCGTTCGGGTTGGTGGTTGCGTTCATCGAGTTGCTCGATAATGACCAATACGGGTTTTTCGATCAAGGTTTTATCAAGGCAGAACCGGAAGTAGCGGCACTCTTCTCGCAAGCTAGGGGTAATTTTAAACGCCATCAGGTGTAATACGGGATCTTTGGTTTTCAATCGCATAGGGTGGGTTTGTGTTCGTCTAGTAAATCATCCTTCGAATAGCGATTGACTTGTCGTTGACTTTTATGGAGATGGTATCGTTGTAGATAAGGAAGATGACTGACCTACAGGATCCCAATTTTAGACTGATTCTCTTACTCTGGGTATTGGTCATCTGGTCATTTGTGTTCAACAAGCATCGTCGCATTCCAACATCCGAACCTATCCTATACCCCTCTTTCCATCAACGCTGTATGTTTTAAATGAAGTGATAAGAAGAAATAAACGATTATACCCTGTGTTTGGTTGGAGAAGGACCTTAAAACGCTCTAATGCGAATGCAGAGTGGAGATGGGAGAGAAGGAAGGGCGAGGGGGAGAGTGATGTAAGCTTCAGGTCGGGGCGGAAGCCTCGGTTGGAGTAGTGTACAGTTTTTAAAGGGAATTACTCGATTTAACTCGATCCAAATGCAATGCATGGCATGTAGTGTGATATGGGGATGTTGTTCCCATGGCGTTTGAACAGTTAACAACAAAGTCACTGTTAGAGTACATGATAGAGTCAACCTGCGGTGACATTTCCCCCCACTTCATCCCCACCTCCACTTGGTCACCCTCGGTCTACATTCCTTCGGTGGGCTTTCGTACGAGTATCCCCTTTCCTTTCTACTCTTCACAACAATCCGGTCAACAAGCGGCCAGCGATGTCGTCAGAACCACTATTAGGTACACCTGGAACATCATCCTCGCCATCACCGACACTAGCTAAAAGGAAAGCAATCCTCACTACTGTCGTAGTTCCCATCCTTCTGTTGGCGGGGATTATATTCGTAGCTATCAAAGGCGAAGGGATACCGAAGGATGATTTAGGTAAAGCTAGGTATTATCTCAAGAGGTGGGTAGAACTTTGTATTCCTTCTTCCTGCTCCATACATCGAACTAGGACCCTCTGTAACTCGTTGGACATGTCAGCTCTCGGCTTGGCGCCTTCTTCACCTTGCACAGTTCCCATTCCGAGATCACAATCTGCCTGACCTTTGATTCGTCCCAACATGATCCTTATCTTGTTCCGCCCTAATTTCACTCGCCATTGAGAAGATCGAAGATTAGCGGGAAGGACACATCCACACCATGGTCGAGATTCTCTGAAAGCAGAAGAGAGGATAGGAACTCTAGAATGTAAGGCTAAAGTGCAGTTCTCCCGTACTCGACGGTCATGTAGATCTACCCATAGCTATGCGAGAGATCTACGGGAATAATTTATCCGCTTTTGATCTGGATGGACCATTAGTAAGTCCTCTGATATCTCTGGTCAGAATGCCATATGTATTTTCACATAGATGACCAGCTGACTGGTAGCCTGGACATTATGATACTTCCCGAGCACGTAAAGGTCACCTTGGGGGTTTCTTCTGGGCCATGTGGGTGGTTTTCACTTTGATAAAGCCCTTGATTGACACTAACGTCAAGCTTCACGGAATGTAGGGAGGAAGAAGAAGGAAAGGACTTTATGATTCCCAGTGTGACCGTCCGAGGTGAGTTCTTCGTTACATTACAATTCACTTCCGAAGTGAAATCCTCTACATAACGTCTCTTCTAATGCCTTGCTACTCATGCTTCCGGAGAGGTGTATGGTGGAGAGGAGCCGGAAGGTAAAAGAAAAGGATATAGTAAGTTTCTATCGTTGAAAGCTGAACGTCATTAGACACACTCGAGCAAATTGACCTCTCTGTCAACCTCATCGAAAAACATTCGTCCGACTATGCCTTGTGTAGGACTGCAGATGATGTAATGGCAGCTATACGTGCCGGAAAAATCGCCAGTCTTTTGGGGATGGAAGGGTGAGTTACTTCCTTGCCCTCACGTCTATGACGGAAAGCTGACCAATATCAGTGCTCACATGTTGGGTAACTCGCTAGGGGGTCAGTCCAAATTCTGGTGAGGGAGTTCGAAGCTTATCATGTAGTCCTCCGTACCTACTATGACTTGGGAGTCAGATATCTTACCCTTACACATAGTTGCAATAATGCCTTTGCCGATTCAGCAGGTATATTTGGTGATGTCGAGGAACGATGGGGTGGATTGTCGTGAGTCCCCAGTCTCCGTATCCCTCCCTACGGTCATCTGTACTTTGGAGGGAGATCCTCGGAGGAATACCAGGGCTGATATGACAGACCTTTGGGGAGAGAATTAGTGAAGGAGATGAACCGACTTGGTATCATAGTGGACTTATCACATGTTTCCGACAAGACGGCTTTGCAAGCATTGTGAGTGGATCTTTCCGTTGTTCACTCCATGTCAAACTCCAAACTATATCCACCACAACATATAAGCCAGTTCATCACTACCTCATGCTCAACATCGTGCCCGACGTACCCTGTATCATGACTGTTGTGACAAAACAAGGTCATTGAGACTTTGTGTGACTTTTATCATACTTTGGACCTCTTCCACTCATGTTGACCTGAGCTTGTTCCACAATGTAACCCAAACTGACAAACCCAGATCTATCACCCGAGCTCCCGTCATGTGGTCTCACTCTTGTGCTAGACATTTCAACGATATGCAACGTAACATTCCCGACGAGGTCCTCGACAAAGTCGGGAAAGGTAAAGGAAAAGTGGATGGTGTGGTGATGGTAAAGTCAGTCGTCTACATCTTCCTTCACCCACTTGCCATCCTTCTTGTCATTGAGATCCACCTGATGTTGATGCTCATGATAGCTTTTACAACAACTTTGCGCTTCCTAAGGATCAAGCCCCATTCGCGAATGTCAGCACTATAGCGGATCACATTGAATATATTGCGGATCGTATCGGTCGTCATCAGTGAGTCACCCTCAATGCCCCCTCCTCAAATATATCAGCTGATAACACAGCGTGGGTATCGGATCAGATTACGATGGTGTCGAAGTAACTCCAGCGGGATTGGAAGATGTTTCTAAATATCCTAACCTCGTGAGTTCACTCTGCATATACGTAAAATGAAATTAGAGTTGATATCCCAGTTTGCCGAGTTGATCAAGAGAGGTTGGAATCAACGCGATCTATCTCTTTTAGCAGGAGGAAATTTACTTCGTATCATGCGTGGTGTAGAAGATGTCAGTAAGAAACTTCGTAAACATGAAAGTCCAAATATGGCGAAATATGATAAAAGACATGATTTAGATGGACACAAAATAGATTTTTGAAAAGCAACCCTTATCCCTCATCTCTAATCGAAACGTATTAGGAGTGTCAGTATGAAAGTATAAAGGAAATACATAAGATGATTTGAATGCATAATTTTAGATTGGATGTTCATATGCTTGATTCTTAATTCTCCCCTTGACACGCACGTTCCACATCATCGATCTCTTTTGGCGCTTTGGACGATAAGATCAATGGTCCATTTGGAGTTATAGCTACTTCATCTTCTATTCGTATCCCAATTCCGTGAAAGGCACTAGGGAAAGAGTTATCGAATGGGACGTATATACCAGGTTCGATGGTGACTACATTCCCATTGACTAAACTGGACACGTTAGCGAGAAGCTCGATCAGTGTAAAGGTCTCAATCTGGGTCTGGTCGACTTCTCTTTCTCCCCTCTCACTATCCATTTTCCGATTCTCACAAACGACCTAAACTGAAGCACAGGTCAGATGTAATCCCGAAAGATATGATAGTTTCTTCCAATATACTCCAGTCATCTTTTGTTTGCGATATCAAACATGTGAGGGTTATGGTTGACATAAGAATGATCGGTCGGATAGAGGAGGATACTCACGGAGACGAACGATCGGTACTGGGACAATCATGTAAGTCTGAACCTAAATGATGGGATAAGAAATGAGGGTAAAGTTTTCTTTCAAGATCCCCTGGAGAAAGTCTGAAACCTATTTGTCGTAATTCTTCAGTCAACATCGAACAACCTATTATCAGCTACTTCGTCTATTTCTCCCTTCAAGTATAAGTAAAATCTTGCCAATGACAATCATCAGATCATGGCGTGTTTACCAAGTTATCAAGTCTGAGTAAATGTCGACCCAGAGGAAAGCGGTAGAGCGAAGGGGAGGTCTATAAGAAGATGGAAGACTGACTAGCTCTATGTAATTCGTTCAGACTGATCCCATCTTCTATCCTACATCGCCGGACACATTCTTTCTGTGCGTTCAGGACGGCTTCATAGAGATCTCTCTGAGCAGGTGTGAATTTCCCATTGGCAGGGAAAGTTCGGGTGATGTCTGCTGCGTAGTGCGAATGTTCGCATCCTGCATCGATGAGGATGAGCTGGGATCAGCACGATTTAAAGGATACTTCATGGCTCGTTTGTGGAGATGGTTAGTAGGTACTGATGATGGGTATGAGAGATGCAAGACACTCACATCGTTATGTTCGATAAGACAATTGTTGTGTGTGTAATGAATAACCAAAGCGTTGGCTCTGCTTGTCAATTCCATCGAGCAATTGTTTGCTATCTCATGAAACGAGGGAGCTTTTGGAAATGTGTTGATGTGATAGGTTAAAGAGATGAACAATACTCACCCACTTGCTACCACAGGCACGTAGGCTGGTCGATCTGCACCGTTCATCGCACAATGATATTCGAACACCGCGGCAAGTTGCGCTTCACTTTTCCCTGGCTCAGCGAACTTCATGACCTAAAAATTAGCGAGTCGCATTACCGTCTAGTCCAGGACTGTGTACGAGCTGGGCAGGGTGGTATGCCAACCACCAAGTCATCCGTCCTCTTGAAAAACCGAGGGGGAAAGGGCAACAGACAGGGTAGGAAACGCTGTACAATGTGTGAATGGAAGGGGTTTAAGACAGACGTAGAAAAGGCGAGGACGAATGATGGACTCACTTCAGCATGCCCCGCTGCACTGATATCAGCAGCAAGCTGCATCCTTGCCAACTCATTGGGACTTTTGACAACCCTCAATCTCTGTACCTCTTTCTCCAAAGGCTTAGCTTTCTCTCCGGCCAACGCGGCAGCTATCAACAGATGTGGTGGATCTTTATCACCAAAGGAATCAGAAGTTGCGTTAAAAAGCTTCAACAGCGAAGATCTCTTTTTGGGCAGACGAGGGTGGAATGGCTGAGAGGATCGTGAGGGTGAAGGAAGTGGAGGGAGAGAGGCGTATACGTGGTCCGATCGGAGCAGGGAAGGAAGGAATGAGCTGAGGGAGGTATGTGAATGAGCCTGATGTCAGATATAATTACCCCAGATAATTCGTGTAACAAAGCAGGGAAATTCGACGTGACCGTCCGATCAAAACTCTATGACTTCATGAGTTTTTGACGGACAGAAATATAAGAAGTCAACGAAAAGTTATATAATGTCAACATTGGAGAAACGTTCTTGATCAGAGACAGAGAGACATTACGTACTTCGTCCGCTCCAAAGATGGAGACCGCTCCTTCTACACCAGTACATTCTCCGGCCCACAAAGCTTCATGGGTATCTTTGGGGGGTACGAACAAAGTATATTTATAATCTCTAGACGAAGAATTCGATTCTGAAGCTCTTAGCACCGAGTACTTATAATGAAAATCGAGGATCATTTCCACTTCGTTCAAGAGGCTCACTTAAGATGACACTCAGTGGATTGACAGTTGTATGAAAACAAGTGAAGGTGATGCTAGGACGATGCAAGAGTTTTATGGAAAAGGGGAGAGGGAATATGAGACATACCAAGTACGAGCGTGGCTTCTGGTTCATCGAACCCTGTCAAGTAAAAGAAATCAGTAGCTACTTTAAGTATCTTTCTTATCAGTAGGGAAAAGATGTACCTTGACGAAATTTGTAACTTGAGAAGTGAGTATGAATATTCTTCAGCTCTTGAATATATACGACTCACAATATCTCTGTCACTTAGCTCATCGATCTTGTACATATCTTGAACCACTATGTCTGTGAAGAGACAATTGACACACATACGAGCTACGATCTATGATGCTCTATAGCATGAGATGGGGATGAATCAAAGGTGCTTCGGACGAGCTGGAAGCTCTCAACCTCCATGAGAGAAGAACAAGAGAGAAGGTTGGATACAGACTGACTTAGGAGCAAAAGCCGGTGGAATTAGGAGAACAACAACCTATGATACTTGTACACGATGAAGGTGACGAGGTACCCATTGATAAGACTGAAGATTGAAGAAAAACAAAGATAACCTACGTTGTGACATCAACCTCACTGTTCCACCCATACAAATTACAACCGCACCTTCCGGTAAATTCTTCATCAACTTTCTTCGTCTATCTTCATATTCCCCAGCTGGAATACCAGGTGTGAGATCATCAATCTGAATGAGATGGGGATGAGTTTTCGACAATGGTTGACCATATTTCCCAGGTTTTACCTGAATTCTGGACAACGTTGATATGCTGAACTTTCTCGATTGAAAGTATTGGTGATTTCGATATGAACTTGAACTTGTCACAATACCTCTCCAGCTGGCAGAAGTTCTCGGTGATTCTGTCAAATGTGAAAGAAATAGAGGGATATAGGGAGTAAGTTGTGATGATTTGAGGGTACGTATAGGTATAGACATACCTGTACGAATATGAATCGCAAGATTGAATGTGAAGGTGACTTTTCTCGATGAAACTCTCGGTCCGAATTTCCGATCACCATATCAACCAGGTTAGAACATGGACATGGGACATACTGCATGCTGCAGAACATCACGTATCATGATGATCAAGAACACAAGAGTGACTACACTCGCATGAAATAGATCAACTAACTCAATGATGACATTCACTAGCCAGCTACAAAAGGATGTAAGAGAGCGTCCCGTGGAGTGATCCTTCTAGATGGATCTAATTGCAAACATTTGTCCAACAGATCGATGAGATTTTGTATCATTCGTAATTCCTCGTCCCTCATTTTCACCTGAACCGATGAGGGAGGCAAGAGTCTAGAACGTAGGTCTTTCGTGGCTTTGGACAACACGAGGGTTTTCGCAACGTCCTATAAGTCAGCTTACCCGAATCCTTCGTTGCGCTGACAATCCTTCCGCACCATGCATTCCCAGACGCTTTCCCTAGATGGCGGGCGTGACAACGACTACTGAACCCATGACACAGGAGAGTCAAGACCTGAAGTGAGAGTGATGAAGATATGTTACACTCACTTGCCCGGTAATCTTGTCCTTCTCTATCGATATAAAATTCAATCCTTCGTCGAAATGCATCTCCCCAAATGTCGCTTTTTTGATCATCCGATGGTTGAACTTGCCCTTCACCTCCATCATAAGGAGCAACATGTGATTATTTGATCGACCGGGGAACAGAATCTTGCCAGTGTAGAGCTCATACAATGTGCAACCGACAGACCACATGTCGATAGCCGTATCGTATGATAATCCAAGGACTGGTCGTCAGTCAGACGTCAAAAAAGCAAATGCGGCCACTGACTGATCTCAGGAGCACGGTAGAAGCGTGATACGAGATATGGAGTTATTTCGCCATCCACAACGTCTGACGCACTTCCTAAATCACAGACTTTCAAAGAAGCCTTGTTCTCAGTAACCTAACTCACGTCAGCGACATCCTTGATCTGCCTTTTCGGATCACGCAAGTATAACTCGCAACTCACCAAGATATTGTCAGGCTTGATGTCGGCATGCACAATGTTGCATTTTCGCATGAGGGAGAGTGCGAGGAGCATCTGGTGTGCGTAGGCGCGAACAGCTCGCATGTTCAACCCAACATCTTTGCCAAACCGCTTGATGACATCGCGAAGGTTCATACTGTGAGTCAGTAAGTCTGCCATACCTACTACGACACAGTCAAGATCATTCCTCCTGGATCTCAGCAAGCAAAAGCAAACTCACCTCAAGCTTTCCGTCACGATGCAAAGATGACCTCGGTGTTCAAATGTTCTTTCCAGTCGCAACAGATGCTTTCGATCCTCCGGGTCCGCATCGTTCAGTCTCTTCAATATCTGAGCTTCTTTCCGGCCCGCCACGTACCTAACAAGTCAGCTGCGTCGGCGGTCTAGTCAGAAGAGAACAACCTACATGCTTTCTTGACTGCGAATGACCTTGATGGCCACTTCTCTCCCGACCACATCCTGCCGTCGCTCCTGATCCACAGCCTTGAGCACCTTGGCCTTGACCACGCTCGAGAACATGCCTTTACCCAGATTGATCGTGACTTGATATCTTCCATCATCCAAAATCTCTCCAGGAGTGATCCGATAATACCCTTCTGGATCGTCCACATTGTCGACCATGGCCGGAGCAACGACTTTCGACTTCGGCTTTGTAATCACCTCTTGAACCTCCGAACCACTATCGACTCCTTGCCTCAAGCGTCGGATAGTCACCTTCCGCTTTTTCTTTTCCCTCTCCTCTCCACCAAACGCGGCGAACATGTCCTCCTCTTCCTCTTCCTCCTCAATCTCAATCTCTACCTCCTCCCATGAGTCCTGCTCTGCTTGTTCTGCCATTGGTTCTCCCACACCCTCCGCAACCTCATTAGCTTCTTGCAAGGCTTCGGCGTCCTTCAAGCGTTTCTCTCTATCTGCCACTCCCTCTTGGGTAGGGTCGTAGTCGGCTGCGGAGATCATCAGGTCTGCCCCGACACCGTTCTGTGTCTGATCGGGTAGCACACCCTCACCGCTAGGCCCGCTTGGCTTGGACAGGTCGAAATCATTGCCCATTGGGGTAGGAGCAAGAGAGGGTTCTTTGAGCGGAGTTACGGCGGTCGTGATGGACGTGGTACCAAGCTGTCTCATCATTGGTGTCACACCTGCAAAGGTCAGCAAAATAGGAATCTCCGTTATAGAAAACTCACCAGCAGTCGTATTCTGCCCCGTTCGCGTGCCTCCAGTGGTCACGCTGTCCGCCCCGGTTCCAACGACCTGCGCAGGCCCAACAACAGCCGCTGAGACGCCGACAGGCTTACCGCCATTCGCCTTGAACTTGGCCATTATCTCCTCTCGTTTTCTTCTCCTCTCCTCTAAGATCTTCTCCGGATCAACGACTTCTTCCAATACCACTACCGGTTCGTCATCTATCTCCTCCGCGATCTTCTTACTCTCCTTCGGTCGGGACTGTCCGATCTCGCGTTCGAAAACATTTGAATCCGGTCTTGTCAGAGGCACAGTCGACCTCGGGCCCGACGGTATCGCGACGGTTTTAAACCCTCTTGGAGGTGGTCCTGGAGGCTGCCGAGGTGGATGAGCATGACCGTTCGTATGAGCGGGTTGACTCGATGTCGACGAGCGTCTGGGGGAGCCGTAAGGGAGGGATACTGGAGGCTGTGGTGGCGAAGGTGAATCAATCCTGGAAATTTTGGCATCAGCTAAAAACAACGGTCAAAGTACTCGCCTGGTATGATACGCACTCGCCTTCCTCCTTTTCTTTGCTTTTATCTAGTCTTCTACGGTCAACATCAACCCTCCCATTTCGGTAATGGCGTGGATCCCGAGCAGGCTCACGCTCATGCTCACGATCATGGTAGTGTCCACGATCCCTCTCCTTATCTCTACTTCCTTCCCAACGGCTTGATCCACCATGACCATTCCTTGACCTGTCTCTGTCTCTCTCTCGGTCATAGTCTCTCCTATCCGACTCCCTTCTTCGGTCTCGATGGTCGTCATGCCGCCTTTCTCTCTCGCGGGAACGGCTGCGATGCCGTCTTGGCTCCTCGTCGTTGAGGAACGCATCGCGCCAGTCGCGTGGCTTGTCTCGTCTATCGCGAGAATCTCGATGAGAAGAGTGACGCGAGGGGGAATGGTCGAGGGGACGTTTTGTACCTGACATGAAGTCTGTGTGAGAACGATAGTACTACGGGTGTAATAGAAAGTTTACAGGTGTACAGTTTGGTAGTCCCTTTGGTTTCTGCCTTGTCTGAGACCGAACTGATATGAGTGAGCAAGCCAGGCAACGGGTAGAATATATCAAGTGTGAGAGCGAATGAAGTAGTTGCTAGTTGCTGAGTACGCTGTCGGTGATCCAGCCGTAATTCCGCGGAGAGATCGAACGTGGCACTTTAACCAAATCAGCTTCCAGCAGCAAAATGCATGCTAAATCGTCCACATCCCCTAGGGACTTACTATTCGTAGCCTACTGCATCATGCATCATACTACGTATACGCATATATGTCCGATACAGGCAGATGACAATGTGAATATGGTGCAAGAAGAGGCAAGGGATGTATGTCATGCGCTGGACGTTGCCAGTGAATGGAGGACAGTAACGTAGGATACAACGCACCCTGTCAAACGAAATCAGTCACGTCGTGTTCACATCCTTCATATGACTCTCACAATGACAGCCTCCGCATCCACCTTATCCCCAGTCCAAAGGGTACAGCTAGCTCATGATCTACGTCAGACCATACATGAGCTTCGTGACCGAGGTCTGCTCGTAGCTGTCAAATGGGCCTCCGAGCTTCTCTCCTCCCTTCCTAAAGAATACCGTTTAGCTCCCAACTTACCTTTCTCACCCCCACTCCAGCCTCATCAACAGGATCCAGGTTCATCCCCCATAACTCTGGTACCACGTCAATCCATGGAATTCCTCCCCTCTCCTGGTCCAGGCGCTTTCGACCGATCCATGGAAGCAGGTCCGAGTAGACCCAAAGGGCTCGATCCAGTTGACATTTTGGAGGAAGACGAGTTTCAATTGGCTAAAAGCTACTTTGATATCAAAGAGCTTGACAGAGTGGTGTTTGTACTTCGAGAAGCCAAGAGCAAAAGAGCTATTTTTCTTCGAATTTACTCGGCATTTCTCGTGAGTCACTCTGTTCATGCACTGAGATTGGCTTATAATGGACAGTCGGCTGATAGGAAAGCTCAAGAAGCTTTGCCTCATTTCCTGGATACTAAAGAAGAGCGATTCGCACTCTATCCCCCTCTGAATGCTCTGTTGGATGAACTAGCGGAAGATTCGGATCCCTACTTGACTTATCTGAGAGGTATCATTCATATGCGACTGGATCAGCGTAGTGCGGCTATCGAATGTTTTGTACAGAGCGTGAAGGAAAAACCGTACAATTGGAGTTGTTGGAGTCAATTGGCACAACTGATCAAATCACCCCAGATGGTATGTCGAGCCATTCTTTATATTCTCATCCTTTCTCTCCCGCCTCAATCTTACGCAAGAAAGATCTGCGTTTGTCCAACGTATGCGCGCAATACAGGGAGAAGACAGCGGTTCATTCATATTGATCATAAAGCTTGTCGAAATCAAAGAACGGCTCCCATCCTCACCAATGTTGACTTTCTGCGCTATCACCGTCATGCTCGACTTGCACACGGCGACGGATATGATCATGAACATGATTGATGAACTCCTCGAGATTTTCCCTCACAGTATACACCTGCAATCACAGGCTGCGATGGTGTATTATCACATGCGAGGTGAGTGACTATTCTTTTCCACTATGACCTTCCGCGGCAGCCGTCTTGTGATCCTTCGTGTCCTGTATGGAGGTTGGTATCGGATTACCACATCATGTCAATGGTGTCGCTGATGAGAAAGACTTCGAGACTGCCGAAAAACAGTTCGACGCGGTACACCGGATAGACCCTTATCGAATGGACGAAGTGGACATATATTCCAACATGTTGTATGTGATGGATAAAAGAGCCAAGTTGGGCAAATTGGCCCACGAGTACGCGGAGATAGATCGAAATCGTGCGGAAGTTTGTTGTCTAATAGGTGTGTGGGAATTTCTAACATCGGCACCTTCATCCTTATACACCTGCCTATATTCCCCTGTCCGCTCCAAGAGTCGCAATCAAGAGATTTGACTGACCTTGACAGGAAACTACTACTCTTCCCGCGCAGATCACACGAAAGCTATCATCTATTTCAAAAGAGCCCTAATGCTCAATCGCGAATATCTTCCGGCGTGGACATTGATGGGACATGAGTATGTAGAACTCAAGAACTCGCATGCGGCTATCGAGGCGTATCGTAAGGCAATAGGTCAGCTTCTATGTGAATAGGTCTTCAACATGCTTATGAGCAGATGTCAACGCTAAAGATTATCGAGCGTGGTATGGACTTGGTCAGGCGTATGAACTGCTCGACATGCCAATGTACGCCATCGAGTACTACAACCAGGCGACATCGTTACGGCCCAACGATTGTCGAATGTGGACAGCGTTAGCTACGGTGTATGAGGGGTTACAGCGGTATGTTTCATTCCTCGATCATCTGTTTACTCCCTAGACTGACTATCAGACTTCCGGACGCTATTCAAGCTCATAATCGAGCATTACTCGGTGCTGACTCTCTTCAAACCCCCACCATACTTCAAAAACTCGCCTCACTCCATGTCACCCTCGCCCAAGCTCACGGAGAATCACACTCTGCCGAGAGTGTTGAATATCACAAGAGGCTTTTGATCCACGGAGAGCAGAGTGGGACTAACATATCGGAACTGGTCGAGAGTTACATGGCCGTTGCGGAATGGGAATTACGCGGTTTGCCTTCTACCAGACAAGTGGTCGTGGGAGTGGGGCATGGACGGACGAACAAGACAGAAGGGGATTGGGCTTTGGCACAGAGGTATTTGGAAAAAGTATCTCAGACACATACTACCTTGAGGGAGAAAGCTGAGGAGTTGTTAAGATTGTTGAAGACAAACGAGTTGAGACGTGTTTGATAAGAGCCATGCAGAGAATTATGACCTCACCTTTCTACCTTGTTCGGTATATAAAAAACTCGATCCTTTGAATTGTTGAAGCCTTCCTAGTAAACTTCGCCACTGACTTTAGTCCTACTCGCTCAAACACTTGACATTCACTTGTTTCTTCTTTCCTCACGATATACACCAAGTCAAGAAGATGAACTGCGATGAAGATATACACTATGAAGAACTCCAAGACGTTCCTGATGAAGTTCGTACACGGTTGTCAGCGGGGGCAGGAGGTAACGTCAATCTCTGGAAGTATATAGATCAGAACAAGTAAGCTTAAGCCGTTCTCGTTTATAATGACCTTATCCTTGTCGTTTCCCCCCATTCTACCCTCCCTACTTCTAGAATCGTATCCCACCATTGTAAATATTTCGTTGTACTTGTGAATCCCAACTTCTCACTGGTCTAGAATCTGGGAAGAGATGTCAAGTTTGGATAAAAAGGAAAGATTTGACTGATGACCAAGCGTTACAGGTGTCAACCTTCTCAATCCCGATTCAGCACCTTGGGTCATTAAGACTTGGGATCAAAGATTAGATGAAGAGAAATTAGTAGAATCGGGAGTTGATGATGATGTGAGTGATTTTACTTAACATATAACTTTGACCTACAAACCAGTCTCTCACACTTTTACTTCTGACAAAGCTATCCTATTTCACAACTGTCTCATTCTTCTTCATCGTCCTCATCAAAAGACATCAAGTACTCTTTGACTAATCGAAATCCTATTCTACACGCTATTAATATGGAAATAGGACTATCAAAATATGTCAAAGCATTAAAATACTGACATCCCAGCTGATCCTTCATATACCATTCACATCATCTCTACGACTTCGTACTCTTCTACTACTCCCTCCTCCCCCTTCTCACCCACATCGATCATCCCGTTTGAGAATATACGTAAACTTACCTCATTGTCCAGATTTCGTAGAGTTGGAAGGAATGAGAGCTGTAATGGATTTAGATGTATCTCAACCTCTGAGAGAAAACAGAGGAGCGGATGGAAGAAGAGATATTGAAGAATGGGGATTAAAAGTTCAAAAGATGGCAAGTGTACATAGTGTTACTTTATTATTTGTGAGTGAATCTTAGGTCTCCCTCAGCTCATATATCCCTCCACACTTCGTTACATAGATATTAACTTTTAAATATCATGACAGCCTCCCCCTTTCATCAATATCAATATCTACGAAAATTGATGTCATCCATGTCTATACCTTACATTTCGTAGGAAAAACACCTACCATTCCGGATACGTAGAGTCATTCGTGGACCGAAAGGTTTATGGTGTTCTCTCTTACGAGGAAAATATGAACGAAGTAGGTTTTTGAAAGGACCAGCTTAAATCGGAGGGTAAGAAGAATCAGTATGTTGACATCTTAGTCCGAAGCAATCACATCACGTCGTTCTGCAATATACTACGTCGGATTCAAAGGTGACGCCAAACAATTACTCATGGATATTTCAAAACTCGGCCAGGTAGCAGCAGAAGATAAAGCGGATAATCCAGTGGATGAAGTGACGGAGAAGCGGGCTGCGGGGAATACGACCATTCGTTGAGTCGTACTTGAAGTCAATCGTCTTTCTGAACAACCACCTATCAGTCTTGTCAACCCGATTGTATGAGTCTTGTACATAAAGGGGAATCATCTCTCCTGACAAGTTGTGATCTCGATATTACCTCTTCCTTCGATCCGAGTTGGTCGGGTCAGGCTGCCGAACCACGGTCGTTGTAAAGCCACAAGCCCGCGGGGGGTGAAGCATAAATGGAGTCGAACAGAGAAGAGGATGGGGTCGGATTGTCAATGTGATGGGAACGAAGATGATCCAGATGTATACTATGAGATCATTACGGTCCTATTAAGGAGAACATTCAAGTCTCGATGAAGAATCATATATGTCATATGCATCTCGAGCTAAAGCACCAAGTGAAGAAAAGTGTTTAACACGATGAAAAGTGGTTATTGATTATTGATACAAAAGATGTGGTAACGCCGTGCTTTGCCGTTTTTTTCTTTCTTTCTTCAACTTGAAGTGTGGTGATGCAATGAATCAATCTTTTGTTGGTGGAAGTGAGATTCCACGAGTAAAACTGTATGTCAGTGATCAGTGAATTTACAATTGGGTCACAACTCTCGCTCCACCATCATCGTCCATTGTACGTTTACTATCTCCTACGGCATGACTTCCATAAGGGAATTGACGCTTGTGAAGAACAATCTGTGAATGGAGCTCTGAGTGAGGTCTGAGGACAGGAAGATGACAAAAACTCACTCTCTCAACAAAACCTCCCTGGCCAAAGTATCATCCTCATCCGGTAATTCCACAGGTGGTAAACTGTTTCTCAATCAGTACCTCATCCCATCAACTTCTCAGAAGATATTTCACTCACTTTGCTCGAAGACGTTCAATGGCCTGCCATCTCGATCTCCAAGGAGTTATATATTCAGCTTGACTCATATCTGAAGCATCCCTAATATGTGTGAACCTCGCCGCCATATCATTCGCCAACTGAGCTATCTGTCTGACCAAAATAGGTAACGATCGACGACTGACGACTTTACCTTCTCCCAAAGGTGAAAAATCTGGAATTCCAGGTGCTCTCTGCAGTGTTACAGTGAAGAAATCACCACCATATTGATCTTCCGGGACTGAGGTGAGAGCGGTAGCAGGGGAATGAGGGGTTATGATGATATTGATAAGGTTGAAAGCTGTTTTGATAGTATCGAAAGCGAATATACCTCCAGAATCGTTATATACGATTTTAACAAAATCATTACCTATCAAACGTTTTTTATTATTTTGAGTAGATGTTTCAAGGTTTGGCATCATGGTGACTGTATGATAAACCGTTTGAGTTAAATCGTCCCACCAAGCATAAGCGTATTCTCCATCGGAATCATCTTCCGTATCTAAACCACCGACGGAAACGTCTACTTGTCCTTTCAGTCGGAGGATACGACCTAAACCTTGAAGAAAGTCGAGATAAAGAGGAGAACCGTCGATATTGGATAAAATCTCATCCTCGGCGATTTGACCAGGAGCTACATATATAACAGCGATTTTCATCGTATCGATCACAGGAGTGTATCCGATGTTTTTCAATGCCCGCATATACTTTTCTTCAGACGGTATGATACGTCCTCGAGGAGCATCAAGTGACGAGTAAGGATATGCGGAGAGTAGTTGTAAGAATACATAGGCAGGTTCAATGGCGACATCTTTACGTCGTTGTGATGGAGTGGCACCAGACCAAATATATCCATGTTGAGAATCTCGATCGAAATCCTCAGGGGAAGGAACGGATGATTTGACATTGACGATTTTCTTCACTATGTCCTCTGACGAGACCTTTCCGATCTGCTCTTCAGTCTCGGCACCGGCTATGGACAAATCGTTGGCGGTAGAAGCTTCTTCTGTCAATGGTCGCAGGATCGTCCGATTGGCCATGAGAACAGCAGGTAGGGTCACCAGGTCGGCATTGGCTTCTCCTAAATCGAGCAAGGGTACATTCTCCAATTTTCCGGTCTGGAGTATGGTTCCTGTCGGTCTGGTGATTTCAATCCTTGTCCACCCACTTCGAGCATTGACCCATATAGTCACAATTTCCCTCTCCAACAGCCAGCTCTGTTTCTTGATCGCCTCCTCGTTTTCGTCCGACATGACCAAATCGCCCAAGAAACTCTTGGCCGGTTGAGGGTCGGCATTGCCGTACGTATACCTAGCCAGCCAGTCAAAACATACTTCCGCCTTTTCGTCCACAGCCGTCCGTCTCGATTTGGCCTGCACCAGTCGTTTCACGATATCACTCACGTACAAGTGTCGTTGTGGGAGTTTTATAGCCATGAACCAGACGTAGATAGAGAAATAAGCCAAATCAATCACCTGCTGTGATAAGGTGAACTCTTGTCTATCTCCAGCGGGTTGCTCGGAACGCGCGTTGTGTTCAGATATGTACCCTGTAGCGACAGCGAAGACTAGACGGTAGTGATCCTGAGTAAAGTTCTTGAACAATTGTCCATGACGACAGACGGCGACCAGAAACTCGAGAATATGAACAGCGATGGCGGTGGTAGAAATGATGTCTTTCATCCGTTCGACGATGGCTAAGAGATGTCGACCGAGATAAGTATCGAGTTCATACACACAAAGGGTCAACGCTTGAATGACAGGCTTGGACACCTCTCGTCGACCTTGTAAACCCTCCGCAAAAGCTTGGATCAGAAGATCATTCTGTTCTCGACTGAGGATCGAGCTGTAGCTGATAAGAATGGACAGGGATTGATACGCGACAGCATTGATCTTGATGCGAGTGATGAACGATGGAACGTTGAATCGTTTTTCCCATGGAAGAGAAGTAGACATAACACCCTCGCACAGAGCTTCCACCAAGGCGCGTACCTCTGTGGCGGCACGAGCACCATGGAAGAACGGTTTGTTGCGAAGTTGCAGCGGTAAGAAACAAAGTACGTAAGAGACCAATTCCCAATCATGACTGCGGATGATCCCATTGAGTACTCTGAGATACTCTGAGACGGGAAGCCACACACCTTCGACGGGTGGGGAAGCTTCGTCTCGTAGAGATGGGAAGTTGGGGTTGTACGTCGTCATCCCCTCGCTGGGGAGTGCGTCCGGAGGTAGCTCAAAGATAGGTGGGTCTGGGATGAACCATAGTGGGTTGTATGATACCGGTTCTGGTCCTCGAGTGATGGGCGGTTGCTTAGATCTGCTCCTGCTGCGATGACCTTCGTCTCGGTTCCGAGAGGCTCGACCTCTTTCTTCGTTATTTTCTGAACGGCTCGGACCAGCAGGGGTACGAACACGTCGCGTATCGGGGAGATCCATCGTAGCATCTCCCTGTCTTGTCCTGTGCAGGATTTCGGCAAATGGCATGGCGGCAATGTCGATTCTCCTCCGTATGAAGATTCGATGCTTTCCATCCGCTCGAAGACGCATGAGCCATTGCAGTATGATTAAACGAGCTCTTGGACATCTGGCCGGTACCGCTGAAGACGATGCCGATGCTTCTAGAGATGAACTCGTCATGGGGAACAGAAGTCCAAGGAGATCCCGATAGATGGTGATGCAACGTGTCGATGCCGGGGTTCGAGCCGCCTTGACTAGTGATCCGGGGGAGCTTGCAGACGAGAAGGCGAGACGAGTGAATATAGCAATGAGCGCCACTACAGCATGTACAGACTTGCAAGTGGAATGTGGAGGTTTGGTTCGATGTCCCGTCGATGGCGGAGAATCTGTTCGACGCGAATTGTCTAGCGATGCCATGGTGGCCGATATTGATGGTAAGTCGGCCGTCTTACTCTGAGGTGACAGAGACAGTTGTGCTCGAGCTGCTGCTGCTTTGGTAGATCGTGATCGGTTCAAATCGGTCGAACCGAGCTGAGGACTGACAACTGTCGAAGAGGGGGGAGATTGCGTTCTAGTTGGATCAAGTTCACCTTTGCAAGGTGTTTGTGCCGCCATTCGAATGATGAGCTTTCTGATAGGATGGAAGCTACCACCGGCCGCGGCTTCTTTTACACTGTCGCTCGGTAGAGGCGCGGCATCTTCAGCAACGAGCATGGGTGTGCTCATAGTTGCTCGAGCCCGTCGACGTTCTTCGTCCCGTTCAAGAGTTTCCGCCACTGCGGCCGAGACCAGAACATCAAGTGCCAGTTTTTGGAAATCTTCATCTTGTGCGTCCACCAGGACTTGTTCCAAGAAAGGAACTATCACTTGGTCGACGTATTCGGACCGATACTCCGGGAGATCTTCAGCATAGGCATAGACATCTTTGAAGAGGAAGATGGCAAGTTTTTGGCGGGTGGCAGGGAGGTTTGAAGACGTCAAAAAGAAAGCTTTTATGAGCTTCCAGATATTTGGTATCCATCGCTGATGATGTGGCAAACAAAGACATTCGCGTTGATAATATTCGACGACGATACTTGCGGTCGGCTCGTCCAGGTAGATCGATAATTCAAGGAGGAGCTCAATGTACTTGGGGTGATAGAAGGGGAGTGCATCGCTGGTCGATGGACGCAAACGGTTAATGGCAGAGGGCATTTGTCGGATGATGGAGCTCATAATGTCGACAAGGGGATGAATGGCATCCACCTGTCTTGTGAAAAGAGCGTCACTTGCCAATTGCTCCTTCCTTATCCGTCAGTGTCGGTCTGATAGAACGGTAGTTTGACGACATACCTAAGATCGGATATAACGGGGATCATGTTCAGCAGTAGCTCACAAGCTGTTTGACCTTCAATCCAGACATCTCCGGGCCGGCGTGAGTTTGTGACATCCTCCTCCAGCCATGATAGATGATCCTGCAGAAATGCAAGTATTTCATAGTCTACCGGCTGCCATCTGGCGCGCCCACCCTGTTGATTCTCGCCAGGAAAACGAGAAAAGGACTGGGCAGCCTTGAGGGACGGTAGCAGAGAAGCGAGCGAGAGAACGATAGTACTGTTGGGATCATTGTCCAAGCTGGGTAAGAAACGACGAGAGGCACTGTGTGTCAGCTGACATTGGCTTGACAGAAGAGGAACTCACACGACTGCACCACGGGTCACTTTACGGTCTTCGGAGGGCATTCTCGCTGCGTCGGAGACAGAAATGACGACCCTTCGCCCAGCTAAGATATTGCGTATAGCCTGCTCGCATCGCCTTCCACCTCTGGAACTCGTCACGACGACGAGTAATTGTGTAGCTGCAGCCCAGCCGTAGTCTGGCATGGTGTCTTCTTGATCTTGACCGAAGGCGAGGCACAATAGAGCGACGGTTTTCTCAAGATCGGTATCTCCGATCAAGGATTCCGCGGCAAGGGTCTCGACGAAGAGGCAGAATGATGGCAGGATCATCGTCCATTTGAGGGAAGACTGCATGGGAGCCTGAGGTGAGAATGAAGATCGTACGGAGGGAGAGGGTACTGTGAAGCCCGCAGCTACTGGAGGGGATGTGAGGCCTGACGTGGATGGTTGTCGAGGAGTGTGGCGACTATTACCAGGTGTTCCGCGTGAAGAAGTCGTGGTCTGTCTGGAACGGCTCGTTGAGGATCGGGATGGATGTTCAGAGCCAATGGGGATATTGGCATTCAATTTAGAAGGTGAATTCAGCGTGGTGGAAGCAGGTGAGTTACGTCTGGTACTCGTTGTACTCGCTGCAACACCAAGAGAGACCTTCTCGTCACCTACAGAAGCGGACGCGGATACACCACACCATAGCAGATCAAGCATGGGTTGGATGATACGAGTGTAGTCCTCGGATGTGAATAAAATGATATTCTTGGAGATGATTCCACAAAGGAGATCAAAGATTGCTATGATTGCCTGAGCGACTGTGGCGGGTTTAAGTGGACCATAAGGTTGAGCAGAACCTAGTGACGGCTGAAACCAATCTACAGGTGGTTCATTCCGTTTCCCGCACCAGGATATCCATTCATCCGAGAGATTGGGGAGTAATCGAACTAGATAGCCAACGATTCCGGTTGTGTATCGTACATCAGCTCCATTTTTGGTGAGCGCCTTGAGAGCGCCTATTTTTACGAAGATTTGGTCCACATCCACGATTGAGTTCGAGAGAGTGATGACCTGATAAACAGCGGGGATAGTGAGGTACGGTGTGTCAGGCGATGCGTCGATCAGTGAAGGGGGAGGGGGTGATGCTCCGATCAGAGCCGCTAGTAGTCGGATTGCTGAAGTGCGTAGAGTCGTTGACTGAGACGACCTCTCTCCGGCGAGATGTATGGCAACTTTATACAACGCATCGATTTTGTTATGCTCAATTCTGGGATTGAGCTTGGAAGAGTCCGTCAACCCAAAAATGTCCTCATTGTCGATGTATAGATTGGCTATCCAGACCGCAACTGCTTTGGCATTTTCTGCCAGTTCGTCCGAACTCGCTTCCACATCCTGTAGGATTCGTACGGCTTCGTCGAAATCGAAAGGCGGTGGGGTGGGAGGCCGAGCTTGTTGTTCCAGCAGTATGGTTGCTCGAGAGGATTCAGGTGACCTTCTTGTCGAAGCTGATCTTTCTGCTGAGTTATCGGTGAGCTTTCGTGTCTCGCTCGAGCTTGATGATCTGGAAGATGCATTGGCTGGACGGGTGATGCCAAATATCATGGGGAGGAATCCGCGGGCACTCAGGCCAGGACCCGGTGTGGAAGCTGGCGGTTGGGTTGACGGAGGGGGAGGAGGGGGATGCTCAGTCCCTTGACCGATGCCCAATGCTGAAGCACGACGTTCACTCATCTTGTCTCGGTGTGGCATGATGCAAGATGATTGAAGCGAGAAGAGGTGGCAAGTGAAGGGGTTGTACGGGGTGCCGGAATGTAGCGCCTGAGTGATGTCAGCATTGCCCAACTAGAATCAATTATCGTGAATTCTCTTTGAACCTGATATTATGAGATGCAAGGACGAGAGTGATATGAATGTAGAAAGGAAAGAGGACGGACCGAGCACCTCGGGGGGTCGGAATTCTTTAGCGCGGTGGGCGTATCATGATCGCATAGTAAGCTGCTGCACTCTGCGATTTGTTGTTAATGAGCTGTGATTGTGAGAGTATGTGGATAGTCGAAAGATAAGAATAGCAAGTGACAAGCAGAGATAAGAGGTACGTATGTGAAGGATAGTTTTGTGAGTACGAGGTATATGTAGAGTTAACCGGTGATGTGAGGAGAAGCAGGAGATTTCTATAATGAAATTTGCTCCCGCTTTCTTCCGAGTCGATGATCGTGTAGATCGTGCATCCTATGGTCTCAACATGGCGAGCACTCTACATCACACCATGGACATTACAACCCTTTGAAGGCTTTGGCTACGACCGTAATGCGTTCACTGTGGGCCCAGATACCTTGTCTCATTCTCATTCTCAAGCTCGCCTCACTCCCAATCGTGACCGCATCTATCTTTTCCGATCCAGTGCTTTCGTATTGCAAATGTGAGTTGAAACAAAGTCGCACCATGTTCGCTCACCGCACCAGGCATATGCTTCTCAAACTCGACCATCATTCCTCTCTGGCATCCGTCAGACCCATCGAAACCATGTCTATCATGTACAAAGCAGTTTTGCATCGACCAAAAGCTACCAATATGTAGGGGTGAGCTGCGCTTTACCCTGACCGGCGCCGGATGACTGATAGTGGTAGACGCTGAGGTGCCGGAGCTCGACACAGATGTCGGGACCGGTTTAGAGGGTGATGTGGAAGCTAGATGTTTCAGTGAGTTGTTCCCGTCTTCCTTCGTCATTGATTAAAGAGGAACAACGTTGATATGCAGAACGTGATTCGCCTAGAGATCAACTTATAGTCACATTCTTCTTGTTGACCGTCATCGGTCTATTGCTGTACGCTAGTATACGCGCCAGGCAAGCTTGTGTTTCAGCACGCAGTACAATCCTCTGATCATTCAGATTACAAAAGGCCATTGAGAACCGCGGTCGACCAACAGATTTGAGGGAATGGTCAGAGGTGAGCGTCTCCATCCCGATGTGGGACGAAAATCCTGATGTTATAGGCTTTACTACCCGAGCCATTGCATCCATTCTCTGCGAGTTTGTTATCCCGAGTGCCCGGTCGAGGACGTGGCGGTGCACGTACTGGCGGTGTCCTTGGAAGAGGGGATATGCAGGAAGCGAGGGGAAGTAGAGGTTACGCCCCGGTCAGCGTTGGCAGCTGAAGGGATAGTGCATAGACTCGACGTATCATCATTGTATCATAAACTTTCAATCTGGCGTGGTGGACATGGATGCTACTAGATTGGAGCCCGACATGAGACAAATAATCATACAAATCGGAAGCTAAGCCTGCCTTTGAGAGTGTCCAATCCATCATGCGCTACGACCTCTGACTGTGCATTCTTGATGTTGTTTCATAAACTCCATTGCTTTCTCGATTGAACATTTCACTCCCGCCCTCGATTTCATTCCTTCATTTGACATTTGACCCCTTTGTATACATTTTCCATTCCCGTCGCAAGTCGCTACAAGTCGGATCGTAACGACGGTCCGCGCGTGAGGAACAGGGATAAGCTACTTAGCTTACACGACACGTCGCTAGACGACCGACTACTCCTTTCCTTCTCTTCACCTTGTTACTCCTTATTAACGTTCCACCGACTACTCATCATTCATCTTTCCTCCTTACCCACTCCATCATGTCAATGACTCACGACCCCGATCCAAATGTCAATCAAACGAGATTCACCATAGCCGATTACACTTACGATCAAGACGAGCCAGGACCGAGTTCACGACCATTTCCAGACATCACCAACATATCCACCGTACAACCTTCCTATCAAAGACCCCCGGTGGGTCGAAACGTATCTCAAGCTAGCACAGTTGGCACTCTAAGGCTTCATCAACACGATCCCACTCTTCCAGTCAGTTCATCTCATACAACGGGACGAAAGAAGATCGTTGAGCTGACAAGAAACAGATGGATCATAACATTCTTGGAGGTACTGAACTCAGACCTTTACCTTCTTTAGGCATTGAATATTCTCCTTCCACCTCACCAACAATTTTACATCCTTCTACCGTTCCTTTACCACCTCTGATTTCACCTAGCGAGCATATCGGTCATAGCATTTATCCGTCAGAAGGGACTGATGCTGAGCTGGGTCAAAATGGTGATGCCAGTAGTGATAAAGGGTTCAAAGCTGGGTATGTTCCAGAGACTTATGAATATCCAGAGCAACGGAGTAGATCGAAAGTGGACAAGTGGGAGTGGGGTAGACGATGGTGGAGTTTAGGGATTGAGAGTTGGGCTTGTCGTTGTTTGTTAGCGGTGGTGATTCTGGAATCTCTTATCGATTTGTCCATTGAGGTGGGTGCTAGTACATTCTGACAATCATCTCCTTTCCCTCATGATGGCCTCTTCCCGCCACCACATCAATTCCAGCTTGTGTGCACTTTGGCGACTGTCGTGTCACCCAAGTTGGTATTGAAGTCTCGTTGGAGTGAGGAGATGCAAAAAACAATTCTGATCTCACAGGGAAACATCTTATGGCGTTTCAATCAAGAAGCTCAATCATCCAATGTCTCCTTATTAATCCTCGAAAATAAACGTCGACTACCCGTCTATTTGGTCATATTCGGTCTCGCCCATCTTTGGCAATTAGTCCTCACTATCATCGCTGTCAGAACTCGTAACACCATCCAAGCTATCGCAGTGACAATGTTCAATTTTGCATTCCTAGGTTATGCCGTCATTGAGATTTTCGAGCTTCGTCAGATACTCGGAGACGACTTGAGTGATAGTTTGACAGATATGGAAGAGGATGAAGATCATTCTTCCCTATTGACAGTCCCTTTGAACGTTTTGACGGCTGTTGTCATTGCTGTGGTAGCAGTTGGATGTTGTCTTCTCGTTGGACTTTCTATAAAGCTGAGAAAAGAATTTGGGTCAGTGCTTCACCCACTTCACACATTTGTCTCTCCTAAAAGACGTAACAAATGTCGGTTTTCTCAAATTTGCTTTTTTCAGAGATGGGAACGGGACGATATTGTATATGGTAGGATTTTTTTGGCTGACGAATAGTTGGGAACGATATCGATTTCTTGGTGCAGACTTACAGATCCGCAAGTTGTACGCTCGATTTCAAGTGTTTGAATGTATTTGTTATTTCTCCGCTTTCTTTTGCGCTGGGTTTGGAATACAATTCATCTGGCTTGGTGAGTCATCATTTGTGATAAGTCCATTCATCTCTTTCCCTTTTCGTTATACCTCTATACAATCTTAGGTCACATACTCAGGTATAAGTTGAACTCTGTCAAGAGATATGGACTGACCATTAGTCCTTCAACCCACCGATGCGGAATATATCGTCACTTGGATCATGTTTCCCTTGTCTATCATGTTCCTTGTGGTCGGAAGATTTGCAGCGAAATACGAGAACAAATATGCCATGGTATGTTGATTTATTCATTCCCAACTTACTTCTCGCCCTTCCCCCGTTGAACACTTCCTTAGACCCAATTCAGAAACTCTCTCTCACCCACCTAAGAGTAGTCATCCACATCACTGTCTCTCTCTCTCTCGGTGACGAGGAAATAGTTCATACTAGTCTAAAAAACAAAAGTTTCATGTTTTTGTCGGGAGAATGTCAGACGATCGTAGACGAGAAGAATACTGACACAAAGGCCGCTTTCATGTTCGGTATCATCCTAGGATTAGCTTACTTCATTTACAAACTCATTCGTGTATGGCAACAAACCAATATCTATTCAAACGTTACTAGATCTCTTACTCTTTTCGATATATTATCTTTACTATCTCTATTACTCTGTATGGCATTCGGTATCACCGTATGGAAAAACTTCGGTAAAGGGTTAAAACAAGCTAGTAAGTTTTGGTTACTTGAATTGATGAAAGAAAAGAAAAAAAGTTGAAAGTTTTAGTGCAATCGCAAAAGAAACCAAATGCTCCTTCTCCTTTATCCTGGAGATCAGGTAATAAATCTTCTGAGAAGATACAAGGAGAGAAGATTGAGATGGAAATTCCCAGGAGGATATCTATAGATTGAAGGAAAACCCTACTGGTCAGGTTGAAGGATCTTGTTGATGAGATGTATGATTGTGACACTGTCTGTATGTTCGTGAAGGTTTCAAGTTATAAACATTCAGTCGGTGTCGAATATTGAGTACCACACTAACGACATGATTCTCACACAAACACAACTGCTGCATGCCGCCTTTACAAACTCAGGTATCTTCCTTCTGTCATTTCCCTTCGAGGTATTCGAGTAGGATCTTGCGTTACATATGAATATGTGTGGGAGTGGGTGTGTGTATAAGAGAGTTGTCCTACATCGCATAACTGTAGAGTACATTCCAGAATAGCAATTGATAAAACGTCTCATGTAAGGTGTATAATGCATTGGGTATAGATCATGATTCAAGTACACCGTCGTATACACACACTACTCGTACTATCGTTTCTTTGCCATTTTGATTTGTCTAGCAAATCTATTGAATTTTCTATTATCCGCTTGTATCCTAGAAACGTTTCTCTGTTCTCCTGAACCTTGTAAAAGGTTAGAGACCGGTACGATAGTATATTGTACATCCTGAAATTTATCAACACCGATATTCCCAATATTTCGAGGAAAAAAAAAAGAGAAAGAGGACATACTGTATTATTCCTAATTCTGACACCTCTCCTACCTTCATTCTCCTTAGTAGCGGCCTTTGCGTCGAATCTTTTCGGAAGAACTTTGATACGTTCCCTAACCACTTCTTCATCTTCATCAGTCACTTCGTCTAATTCAGTTTGACCTTGACGTGTTGTTTCGGTAGAAGTGAGAGGGTTGAGATTGAGAGTAGTAGGACGTTTGATAATTGGTCTACTCCACATTTGAACGAGATTATCTGCTTGACGATTGATAAGAGGAGTGACTCGTTTAGTTTTCGTATAGAATAAAACGATGGGACCTAGACGACATTCTTTTAGGATTTGAGTGTCGAGATCCATCTGAGATGTCAATCAAGTTTTCATGACCTACTTCGATGTATATATATCTCATCCCAGATACTGACATCGATCTCAGAATAGTGGGAAGTTTTGTATAAGAAAGTTGCATACCTTGGGTAAAACTTCAAAGATAGCTTTCTGTATACCTACTGCTGGTAATGCTCCAGAAGGATAAATGGGTTCTAGCCATACTCTCACAGCATCCAGTACTTGATTGTCGGTGATAGCCTGTGTGAGTGTTTGACTGATAATTATCAGCCTGGAGTCTCTCGTGTGAAGGTTGAGTTGAGATTGAATAGCCAAAACTTACTTTCTTAATACAGACATGACTTCATCAAGCATCGCTAATTTAGCAGTTGCGGGAAGTTTTGCATCGTTGGAAGCTTTGTCCTTTGTCCCGCTGCGGCTAACATTCGATCCCGAAGTCTAATACAGATACTTTCATGGTATTCGTCGAGAATCTATTCATCAGAGACCTTTCTTTGATTGCTCAACACCTCACACTGAGGATGTAAGAATGGCATCTATGGGCTGTCTCATATGAAAAGATTGTTTGATAAATTCGAGATGGGGAATAAGAGAAACCCACATCAACATCCTCGCCCTTCCTCTTACGTCGAGTATTCTTGGGTTTCTTCCCAATAGCGTCTATTCTGGCTTCTAATGCCATTCGTCTCTCTTGTATAATCAGCCTTGTGTCCTCATTGATGCATGGAAGGGACGAAGAAAGAAAAGGAACTCACGGGTGGCTTCATCATAAACCGGTTGTTCCTCTTCTTCCTCCTCTTCTACTTCAGCCCTATTCTCTTTCTCTTCCCTTCTTTTCTCCTTCTTCTCCTTCCTCCTCATCTCTCTCTCCTCCCCGTCCTCACCAGCGACCTTCTTTTTCTTCTTGAACTTTGGAATCTTAGCTGGTGTGGTCGCTGTAGCCGGCACGTACACGTCACCTGCACCTTCTTCTTCTTCTTCCTCATCCGCATCACGGTCGTTCACAATAGGAGCTTCTACCTCAGCTTCATCCTCATCATAGTCATCCACATGTGAAGTTGCGTCCTCAACGACAGGTTGTACTGGTCGCGGCGGGAAGGCGACCTGACGTCGGGGTTGATCATCTTCTTCCTCTGACAATTCATCGTCAGAATCAGCACCGAACACTTGAGCGTAGAGATCACTTGTGGTGGATGTCATTGCGCGAGGTTGTACGGGTGGCGAAGGTGAAGCAGACATTGTGAATGTTGTTGTTGAGAATTGAAATCGCGGTCTATAAAGGGCAAGACATGGATTCCAGTGGAAAAGTGATAAGGGTGTGGTGAATGATGTGGCATTTCCTCCCGGTGGGGCCGCACCGAGCAGCGGGGCGCCAACCCTTCTCTCGTCCCACCCACCATACACTGTAAGTACGAAAATTGTCCACCGCTATCTGTAGCCATTCCATCATCCTCTCCCACCTACCCGAAATAGCAGGGTCCCAACAGTTTGAACATTATCCCAGACCTCTCACAAAAGCCTAGTACTCGCCATGGGCCTCCTGGACCATGCTGTTCAAAGTGAGTAATTCCACTCAATCGCCGGGAAATCAGCTGATCACTGACAGTCCTAACCCACCCAGTCAGTAGACTTGCGCATACACAAGTAGTCACACTGACCCCGTAGAATGAGTTCCGGGCTATGATTCATTTCAAAATCTGGCGTGACGCTCGAGACATCACAGATCCGAAGGAGTATGCCACGACAGGATATGATCGTCCCAGTATGAGAAAATGCTGGGAGTTTTTGGATAGAGCCAGTAGGAGTTTTGCAATGGTCATCAAGGAACTTGAGGGAGATCTCGCTCGGACGGTGAGCTTGTACTTCCACAGCTCGTATCATCCCTATCCATCGCTTCTATCCTCACACCGCACGGTTGTGAGACGGCAGATGGGAGAAAGAGCGTAAACGACATACCTGATCTCAGGTTTGCATCTTTTACTTGGTCCTTAGAGCGTGCGACACTCTCGAAGATGACATGACGTTACCCAACAGCGTTAAACTTCCCATGTTGAGATCGCTATACCTCAAGCTGCACGAACCTGGATGGAACTTTGACGGTAGTGGGCCAAACGAAGCAGACAGGATGACATTAGCCGAATTTGATGTTATACAAAAAGAATTTTCCATGCTTGACGAACGGTAGGTGACATTCATGTTGTCTGTTTTTCGCATTTCTATTCGAGACTAATACCAGATATCAACTAGTCATCGAGGATATTTGCATGAAGATGGGCAGAGGAATGGCCGATTTTGCGGCCTTGGCAACTCCGGAGAAACCCGTGGCAGAAATCAACACCATGGCCGATTATGATCTTTATTGTCATTACGTCGCCGGTTTGGTCGGTGAGGGGTTATCTGGAATCTTCGCGGCTTCAGGAAAAGAAAGAGCCTTCATTGCCAACCAACTCACATTATCAAACTCGATGGGTATGATATTGCAAAAGACCAACATCCTCCGCGACGTAAAAGAAGATGTTGAGGAAGGAAGAGGCTTTTGGCCTCGTGCTATTTGGGGGAAATACGGGTTCGATTCTATGAAAGAACTCCTGGATCCTACGAGGGAGAAACAGGCTTTATTCGCAGCTAGTGAGATGACTTTGGACGCTCTTCGACACGCTACGGATTCTTTGGATTACCTGACGTTGATCAAGAATCAAAGTGTTTTCAACTTTGTGGCTATTCCACCAGTCATGGCTATAGCTACGTTGGAGAGATGTTACATGAACCCGAATGTACTAAAGAAGAATGTCAAGATCCGACGAGGTGAAACCATCCAAGTGAGTTGACTCGTAGATATTGTCATCGTAACTAAATTATCGTAGCTCATACTGCGCGCGACCAACCCTAGAGATGTAGCACTCATCTTCCGTTCGTACGCCAGGAAAATACATCAGAAAACAGCGAGAGATGATCCCAATTTGCTTAAAATGAGCATTGCATGTGGCAAGGTAGGTCAACCCTTAACTCCACCAATCATCACCCACCTCCCCCATATCATCCTTGATATGTCTGATGGGTAGACTGGACTCAGAGCTCACGACAGATCGAACAATGGACAGAACATCATTACCCTTCTTTCCTACAGATACGTATGCAAAATGGAGCCATCACCACCGTCATAGATGACAACTCGTCCGACGGTAGGGTACCTTTGTATCATAGAATCTCTAAACAGATTAAGGATAAACAAGATGAAGAGAAGAGAGAACAGTGGGTGGCTCAGATGGTCGATAAAGGTGAGTTTTCCTTGTTCAGCCATCCATTCTCCAAAAACAATCCCTCTGATATGTAAATCACCCCTTCACGCCCTCCCTGGGTTTGGTACACACCTTTCCCGAGTGGCATAGATAAATGATCAAAAGAGATACAAGATCTTCATGCTGATTGGGGTAGGTATCATCAAATCAAAAGAAGAGTATCTGGAGAGGGAGGAACAACGGAGCGTGTGAGGGAGATTGAAGATGCTCAGCCTTTCCCGTGGTTGATCGTTATCGGTGCTATCGTTGGCTTCATTGCGCTCATAGTTGCCATTTCTGGTGTGGTGTATTATCTCGTGGCTGTGACCTTCAAAGATGTGAGTCCGTCAGTCACCAATCCTATCCGTGCTTACTGACCGCCTGATGTGAGGATGGATTGGCTATCTGGCGGACCAAGGATCCGGGAGAGAAATTGGGATATGGATGCAAGACAGACTTGTTGAATGAATACCTCCAACGAGGATCTGACTCAGACATGTATTCTCATGGTGTTTCACTGATTGTTTCCAGACCTGCCCTAACGTCCCCGCTGGGACCGCTGATCGCTGACTCACTGATGCGTTCTAAGCGCATTTTGACGTCAATCGATCGATCATCTTCGTGCGACAATAGGGGTATGCGCAAAGTAATCGTCATGCAGATATGTGTACAACAGGGGTTTTGCTTATACGTGAATGAGAAATGCCCAACTACCCTTCCGCAGTATGTTCCCACCATCTACTTTCTCCTACGTGTGTCCCGTCCTCTTTCTTCCTCCCACGAAGGAATTGTACCTTTCGTCCTTTCTTGTTCTTTCCGACTGGTGATCCCAAATCACTTTCCTCTTCATCACCCAAATCCCGTTTCCTCTTCCGCAGCCCCAGACCAGTCTGCTCGTCTCGACTCTCTCCGTTTGTAGTCTTTTGAGAGTTGGAATGAACGGGTTTTACTTTCCTACCTATCCCATCCCAGGCATTCTTGTGTAACCTGAATAAAGCCATAGTAGCTCTTGCGTCCGTCACCTATCATCAGCTTTCCTGAATACACGAAAGTGAGGCGACCCACAGAGCTATGTGACCCTTTTTGGATTTCTAAGCCGAGTTCCAGTTGGCATAGTTTTTTGAGACCTGGACGTTTGTTTTTTGCTATTTCCTGTAAAGGTTTGCATCTTTGAGTGTCGCGGATCATGGTTGCTGGATGACTGAGCAATAATGCCTATTATCAGTCATGATCGTCGTCATTATATCATTTCATATGACCCTGAAGAAAGACGTCTTTTCTACAGGAAGGGGATTCCCTCAAGTGATGAATGTATCTCCTGTTCAGACGAAGCAAGTACACTGGCTTGATGACCTAGGACGTCGCCGAAGAACGATTGGTAAGCGCAAAGGAAGAGGTAGTGGGTGAGGAGAGTGAGAACAGAATGAAACTCACTTGAAGATCATTGGATATAGCATGTCCTATGAGAACCCTTCCAGTGAGTAAATCTGAGACTTGTTTTTGCACCGAAGCGAAATCCGGTGCACCTTTCAGATCTTGCGCTCTAATCCCAGATATCCAAGTTCGAAAATCCGTCACTGGCTCTCCTACTTTAGGCGAGACGAACGTATCGAGAAGAATGTGTCCGTGGTAGTTGACGAGAGAAACACGAGCTAGAGCTGATTCAGAACCTAAATGACCTAGTCCGACCATCTCACAATCTATTGCTATGCTTTTAAGTCAGCGCTTCGTTCCTGAGTGAACGTATTTCATGCGATCGGAATGTCCGATCGATGTCTTGATCGAGTTGATTAGCCTCTACCATGTCCTGTATGAGTTTGATAGAAGGTTACACTTTGACATCTGTGAAGAGAGGGGTATAGATTGAGCAGGGAAGCTCGTGCCCAATCAAGTAATCCGGAATGGGATAGAAAGAGATTGACCCACTAGTTACCCGGCCTGCATGTAAGCTAGAACTATTCAGTCAAAGCCAATCCAGCTCACTCTTTCTTCGAATCATTCAAAGTCGTCCTTCCAGCTACCATATTCCTCAGTTCTTCAACTACGGCAGAATCATTCCGAGGGTCTGAGAAAATCACGGCTTCTTTGACACCCTCGGAGGTTCGATGTTCAAGCTTAGCACTGTTTCGTGTCATCAATATCACGTCTCCTTTTTGTTCAGGCTACACACTTACGATGTTTCACCGAGCTTGTCCTCAAGAGTCCCTACATATCTCCCAACTCCAGCAAGATATCGTTTCCGTTTAGTATTTGACATGGACATCTTTACCTTCTCTCCAGATCCCGACGCCGGCTTCAAGGTCTGACAGTTAGCAGGGATATCTTCACATGAGGAGGTCACACTTTTTTCAGCTGATTCCAATTACTACTAGGTAACGTGGGCTCTTTTGAAGACTTTGTAGGGGCAGATTTGCCCATAATTCAAGTTTTCGGTTGAAAATGGACGGAAAGTCAAAATCACTCGCCGAAAGTATGCCACGCGGAAGGAAAGTCGGGATTACCGATATCGCCGCGGGATCCGACTCCCTTCGACGGGCTCTGTCCACTTTGACATCGACTTCATTCCACCATTAACGAAGTGAGTCTTTCATACATGACTTTCCATCCGTATCTAATCATATCACTGGTCTTCACGTCATTCATTGAGTATTATCAGTCAAGAGGGACTGACTGACTGTGTGGCTGGGCAGCGATCAGTACCGGGTGGACGACGATTCAGTCACTACATTTCGACATGGTTTTACACAGGGCATACGGGTTACAACGGCGGTGGCTTGGGATATTGTCTTCACCGTATAATTCGAATGGCTGACGCTTCAGAGATCCTGTACCGAACATCATGTTTGGTCTACGTGCTTGGCCCACTCCCGTATGTCGCTCATTATTTTCCCGCTTGTCGATCATTTGGGAAAGCGATAATGTCGAAAACTCTTGCTGATTCGAAAGATCCTCAAACCTCTGTGGCCCTTCGCCGTGGGTGCTGCCATTACCTTCTTTGGGGTGGTCAAACTACAAGATGTAGCGCTCCAAGGTGAGTCATCGTCTCCACTTTCTCTTTCATGACATCACCTTATACCCGATATGCCTTACCTTCCTATTCTCCCTGATTATGGTCTGAACGAACGGTGTACCGGCAGTTTGCACGTGTATCCGGCTGATCTGATAGACCCCGAGATGGCGAAGAACCCTAAAAATCCCTATGGTGAGTTCCGATCATCTCAAACGAACGAACGCTGATATTGTAACAGCATTGGCCCAAGCCAAGGCAAACGGACATCATTAAGCAGATTGTTTAGATATGTACAATGGTGACCAATTGCACTACACTCCTCTAGTCGCTAGAGAGCTTCTGACATACTTGACAGCACTGACGTACACCAACAAGCTGTACTAACAAGCTCCCGCCTGCATCAGAGGTCATCCCGATCCGTAAGTCGGATGTCGTTGGTGATATATGGAAGCCAGTGCTCAAACTAAGCATGTCATGCCCTCATGAGCCAAATTAACTCCCGTGATATCTTAACTGATGCCTGCTGATCGCTACTAACGTCACTTCTCGGTGATCTCACCATTCAGCTTCCTTTCTACTCCCTCCACCTCATTCCTGCACTTCTTGAACAACGGATTGAACAGAGAGAGTCAAACTGACTCGACATTCTCGTGGGGGCACTGAGGAGGGAAGTGGATTCCATTCTTCTTCTACTACTGATCCGTGGAAGTCACCCAGGCTCACGGCTTGTGTTACTAGTTCATGGTGACCATGCAAGTCATTTTCACTATGGGAGAGGTGTCCTTGTCTGATAGGAGTCCATTGAACTGGCTCACCGAGCTGAACGCTCACCCGGATTGGGAATGATTGACCCAATGTGTCAAGGCTTGCCCTGACTCGAAAAGTCCAGCTGAAATTGTACTGTGTGGACTCATTGGGATCATAAATGCCCTGCAAGGTCAATTCACGACTGGTCCGCTCCCAATCTGAATACTGCCCATCATAGAAAGCTAGCCGCACATTGCTCCACCCTTGCTGCACAGGACTTGGATCCTGCACATTGGGTGACCTACCAGCAGATGTCTTGCCTGACATCTGCCTCTCACCCGTTGGGAAGCCATCAGGATGGACTGTAAAGAAAGTCGTCCCAAAGAATCTGGCAAGTAGTGCGGTATGTACGCACACTAGAGCACTATTAGTTTGCAGAGGTAGCTGCTGTAATGTCAAGGTCATATGGAAAACATCAGGGTCATCCTGGGTGAGCCGGTCAAGACTGTTTGTTGGGGGTAGTGCAAAAGGGAGTAAGCAAGTCACTATCAGTGGGAGGGTGTTGCTATGTGCCTCTGGTTCTGCAACTACGGCTGAGTCCTTCTCCACTTTACCATAGCTTAGAACACAAGTGGTTTCAATAGAATCATTCAGTGAAGCGGTGAAGGCTTCCAGAAGACTTCTTAACTGGTCTTGCAATTGGACATGTCTTTGATTGGTAGTTTGAGACATTGTAGTTGGGCGTCAAAGTTGTTGAAAGAGTTGTTAGCCGATAGAATCGGGCCAGGACGGCCGAACCGCCGTTAGATAATTACCCCTTCCGTCGAATATTTCTCCGTTCAACTTATCCTCTGAACTTTATTCGATCGTCTCTGGTTTTATGCGTGTGAGTGGAATGTGATAAGTATAGAGACATGTAGAATTGATGCATGCTCTTTTTTCCCCTCTGTATTATCATCTAATTATCAGTTAACAGATTAACAGTCGGAAGTCACATACCTTCTGTGTATAATATAACAAAGGCAAGTTCCCATTTCTAACTCTCCTCATAATGACCTCCGTGTCGTCTAAGATCTCTCTTGAGAGCCACCCAAAGTTATCCCACGATCCAGCATCGTATGCTCCGTGGAGGAAGTCGATCGAGGTGTATCTACAGATAGGTGACGTGTGGAATATCGTCACAGGTGATGATACCGAACCTGGTCGCGTAGGGGTCAGGCCGACGACAGTGAGAGCGGGGTCAGTACCTCCTACCACGCCCGTCGAAGGGCAAGCGGTTGGTAGAAGGATTACTGGAGAAGAGTTGAAGGAGTGGGAAAAGTGGCAAGCGAGGGAGAATAAAGCGCAGGGGATGATCAAGGGAACAGTGTCGGATGCTGTGATGCTTGATATATCTGAGAAGATGTCAGCTAAAGAAATGTGGGATTACTGTACAGCAATACACGTAACATCGACGATCGAGAATCAAAGGAATGTCCGTCAAGCGTTGTTTAGCTATGACTTAAGGGACGATGCGACGGCCGAAGAAATGGCTAAGCATGTGGAGGATTTCTCGAAGACGATGTCCGAAGCAAAATTGGTGGGGTTGAAGTTTGACTCACAGGATCGAGCTGGGTTATTCCTCAATACCATCCTAGCACCATCCTACAGGATCATCCAGATCGAAGTAACATCCCTCATAGAGAGGGAGAGAACTTGGGAGAAGGTTTTATCGATCTTCAATAAAGAAACGGCGAGACGTAAGGCGCGCCCTGTTGGTAGAACCAATAGAAAGGGATTCGCGATGTTCGTCGAAGGAAATAAAGGAATGAGGGTGAACCGAGATAATTGTCACGAACTACGTCGTGACACCTCCATTATCCCACCAACAATGACCCTCCTTTGACCATCAAAACCCCCATCACGGCTTAACCTTTTTACTCTACACGTAACCCAGGACATCTGAGACCAAGTACGGCGAAGTTAGACGAAGTTAGGCTACGTAGGGACAATGGGAGCAGAAGTACGGCGAAGTTAGACGGAGTTAGGCTAAATAGGGACAATGGGAGCAGAAGTACGGCGACGTTAGGCGGAGTTAGTCGGAGGAGGAAGAGGATAGCCGGGGCTCGGGGAAGTTGGACGAAGTGCGTCGAAGTACGCCAAAGCGCGAGAGGGTTGGATGAACGTCTAGGAGGAATAAACAATATTAGCTGAGAAGATCGCTGAAGTTCTTCAGCGATCCTTGATTGTTGTCAGTAGTGAAAGATAGATAGAGATAGCTATTTACAAATCGAGATACATCGCCATCAGTAGAACAAAACCCCAGTTAGAGTAACTACGCCGAAGTACGCCGTAGTTACACCCCTTTCGACGTCTGCGCCCTCCCGGTTGGGTGAGACATCGATTTAGAAGGATCAAGTTAGCCGAGGTTCGTCGACCGTCGGTCTATTAGGAGGTAGTTGTTCGACGGGCGTGACAATAATATCTCTGATGGTCAGCCCAGAAAAGAAACCAGAAAGTGTTATAACTGTGACACTGTAGGACATCTAGCGAAGTACTGTCGTAAACCTAAAAGAGAGGATACGAACAGGAAAGAGAACGCAGATGGAAAGGATGGAGGTAAAAAGAAATGGAGGAATAATAATAATAAGAATAATAAGAAAGGACATACGGTCTCGAAGGATGAGAACCAGTCCAAGGATAATTCCAAAACCTCCTTGATGTATTCGTCATTGGATGGTGAACATGAGGCGTGGGCCGGGATGGCCATGTCGACAGAATCATGGTTCGATGATGACGCAGGGTACACGAGTAACATCGTGTGGCCTGAAGAAATCGAAAACCCGTGGGTTGAGGATAAGGATAATGAGTGGGTGGGATTAGCTACAGAGTCTAATGATGTAAGCCACACTCGTGTAATCCCCACCTGGGTAGTGGATAGTGGTGCTACTCACCATATAACTCCTCACAGGTCGATAAT